TTCTGCTGTAGTTTCTCTGGAATGATTACCCTAGTAGAATTGTCGAACCTACCGTTGCTCACCGAAATTTGGTTAACGACCAAGATTAGATCCATTCTCCTCTTTCTGGTTTTACCCAGCTTTAGGTAGAATCCTTTGTTGCTTGGAAATTAATGCAGAATCTTTATATCAATCTGTATTTTTAAAGTGGCGCATCTTAACTCAGAATAAACTCCATTAAAAGAAATAAAATTCATTAGAATTTGTAGGTTTTTGTCTATAGAGAGCAAGTTCGCATACACCGGCTGCGCAAAATTCTGTTCATCTCGGTGCGATAAAGCTATTGAAGGTAGTTTTAGCTCAGGATTTGTTTCTAATGCATTATTAGCACAGGAAGTTGTGGAGACGCTTGAAGTAGTGGTACTTGCTAGGCGAGAGGTCGTGCGAGTACAGTGAATCAGGCAGAGTTTCATAGCTCAGCTTGTTCAACCTTTGAAGCACCGATAGCACGACATGTAGTGAAGTAATTCGGCATCCATTTCTCGAGTTTGCTTGAATTTCCATCTTCAAGTTCTCGAACAGTTTTGCATGTATTTGCTTCATCCTAAGCCTTCATCCTCTTCAATTGCAGAAGAATGTCCGGGACCTTCCTCATTCTCAAGATCGAGCTTACTATGACGAAATCATTCAAACTGAGGTCACACAGTTCGCTCATTAACACTTCCTTGACCTCATAGCTTATTAACGTTTCCAGCCTTTTTCACTGCGTACATTCGACTTAGAATGCGTAATACGCGCCTCATTCTTACTTAATGGTAATATACTTATTTGTTACCACTTTTTCTGCAGTTGTTTTTATCACTGATTTTCCATCTGGAAATGTTCAAAAGCATCTAGAAAATGCCAGCTTTCTATATTTGTTAAAACTATGCGGTCCGAAATATATTGCGGGTAACAGACATCTAGTAAGTTTGCTGTGATCCCCAAACAATTGTTTTTTATGAGCGTGAAGGTAATGAACACTAGAAGTTTACTGGAACAAAACCAGAAATGATAAGGATCGAAGCATCTTTAAGAAATTATATATGTATATATAAATATTATATATTTGTACAAATATTTTATATTTATGCGTAAATAGATATTTAATTATATATAATTAATTATATTTATTTATGATTAATCATATTCAATTATATACTATTTATATATATAAATATATATAGGGAAATGTAGATATTTGGATCGTAAATATCTCGTTTTCTTTTCCAGAAATCGTCAGGTTATTATTCAGCACACCTTTTCTTCCTTGCAAAAGTAACACATGCAGCACAACGGTAGGTGACGTCTCGGTAGTATCGCCTTCTTCAGAGCCTGGAAGGTTGGAAGATGTCTCCCAAACGTCTTTAAAGAACATCTTAGCCTGGAAGGCTGGAAGTCTCTGAAGAAGGCGATACTGCCGAAGAGTCACCTACCGTTTTGTATGCGTTCTTTTTGTGAGGAAGTAAACGTGTGCTGAATAACAGCCTTGCGATTGCTGACAAAGAAAACGAGATATTTACAATACAATGCCGAGGTTTATAGAAAGTGGATCTTGGGAACTATTAAGCTTATTGTTATCCACTTTGAAACAGTAGTTGTTTTTCATGAGCATGAAGGCAATGAACAGTCGAAGTTCATTGGAACAAAACCAGTAATGATAAAGATCGAACAATCTTTAGGAAACTGTGAAATATGAACACACAAAGATTTATAGTTCTTCCAGACCGAATATTTTGCTACGGAGCTGTTTTTTCTTCTGAACAAGGCAAAAATTTCAGCTAAGTCAAATGGCTTCACGAGAAGTAGAAAAAGAAGATGCTGAGAGGAGCCGGAGGAATGGAACGTGTCTTTCCAGATTCATCAACGTTCTTACGTCGTTTATGCCAATACTGCATTGGTTACCGAAGTAATTTTTTATCGTCGTTAATTTCACCAGTCTATGTTTTCACAAGTCTGTTGTTCTGTTTTGTTGGGTGGTTGCGAATGATACCGCCAGTGATCATCCGACGCGTACATGAACCAAGCAAAGATTTCGTTCGGAGGTTATTGTTTGATAGGCTGGATTTCTTCGTAATAGTGGCCTTAAACAAAGAAGTTGTTATATTTCAAAAATTTTGAAAAAACGTTGTAAGGAATACTGTAAGTCTGGATTTTCCCAATTTTTTCCAGTTTTACATGATTTTCCCTTCACTGATATAATGGAAGGAAATCTGAGTTAACAAAAATCCCGTAATATGTGACAAATTTGACTCGTTTGGGAACAAATTAGTGGTATTGATGGTTGTTTAGTTGGTCTAATAACTGGTAACTGGGGAGCTCGGAATCACTGGTTGGTCTTTGCGTTTCTTATCGGTTGAGTTGCTTGCCTTGAACTTAACGTGACATTTGTCACGCATTGTCCTATCGCAGCACTTTTTCTGAGCTTAAAAAATTTTTTGTCGAAAACTGTATCGGCCAGATCTAAAGTCATAAATTGCGCTATTTTTTCCCTGTTAAGGCCTCACATGAATCTTTGCTGTCCCATGCAGTCCAGAGAAGATCAGCAAAAGACCCTGATCTGGCAAAATGGGTTGATCGGATTTAATTGTTAGTGATGGAGGTCCTGTAAATTAGTTGAGTTTAAAATCTTTAGTAAATGTAACTCACCAATAAATGTGCTGAAAGAGAATAAATAAGGGGATTGACAATTCTTCTGAAAGCTCCCACGACCGACTTTCTATTAACCTCGGCATTGATCAAGTGATTTTCTTCGTATTTTTGTTGAACAAACGCGAGGTGATATTATTATTTATTCACGAATAAGCTGGCGTTTCGACGGATTTCGCCTTCCTCAGAGCCTGGAAAGGTCAAGTTGATAGCAATCTATTCGGCCAGACGCCTCCATAACCAAACAAAGAAATTCTAAACCAAGATTTCAATCACATTGAACACAGCTTTGCACACTTACCGCTTTCTATGAGGTTTCCACTAAGTATGTCACGTAGAGTCCAACCGCAAAGAAATCACATGGAAGCATAATGTGCCCCTCCCATCAGAATAGCAGTCTTATATACTGCCCTATATCACACGGGATAATGAGGTTCATCCCTTCCCTGCGGTTCATTTTCGCATTTTTGGAGTTAATCCAGAATGCCTCGAGAGTTCTTCGCGCCTGTGTTCTTGATTCGCGTGCTAGGATCGTGACACATACATCAAAGTCCTCCCCGTTATGTCTCTGGGTTCTATGCGTGCCTAGCGGGGTATTTGGCTTACGTTTGCCGACTAGGTGTTCTTTTTATGGACACAGAGTGGTCTACCCATTTCGCCAACGTATTCATCCCCGCACGCTTTACAAGAGATCAGATAGACTGAACCCGAACTCATGCAGTCGCCGTCTCTACCACTGGGGCAAATTATGCAATTTTGAGTTGCACATAGACGGTCATATAGGCGGTTACGAACAAGCTGGCGCTTAAGATTACTCGGTGGTATTTCAACTACGTTTACCGAATTCTCTAAACCCGCCCTTCTTAAGCAGCGTTTTACAGCAGTACTTATATCATTTGAAATGAAGGGTAGGATAAACGGGACCCTTCTATCGCTAGAGTTGTTGTTTGGAGGCCTTGGATTTCCCCTACACCTATCCTGCGCAGGATCATCGCTGGATACTAACTTATGAGTTTTTACAAGTAAGTACGAGACAGGGCATGTGCTCGGGAAGAGAGCAGAGGGAGGAGTCCCGGAACTTGGCACGGCAAATAGCCATTTCTAATGGCTACGAAACTGTAGCTCAGGATAGGTGTAGGGGAAATCCTAGGCCTCCAAACAACAACTCTAGCGATAGAAGGGTCCCGTTTATCCTACCCTTCATTTCAAATGATATAAGTACTGCTGTAAAACGCTGCTAAAGAAGGGCGGGTCTAGAGAATTCGGTAAACGTAGTTGAAATACTGTAAGACGTGCGGTGACGAATACATTGGCGAAACGGGTAGACCCCTCTGTGTCCGCATGAAAGAACACCTAGCCGGCAAAAATAGACCAAATACCCGCTAGGCACGCATAGGACCCAGAGAGATAACGGGGACGACTTCGAAGTATGTGTTACGATCCTCGCACGCGAATCAAGAACACAGGCGCGAAAAACTCTCGAGGCATTCTGGATTAACTTCAGAAATGCGAAAATGGACCGCAGGGAAGAATGTCTCATTATTACGCGTGATATAGGGCAGTATATAAGACTGCTATTCTGGTGGGGTGTGGGGGGGGGGCACATTGTGCTTCCATGTGATTTCTGTGCGGTTGGTCTCTACGTGAGATACTTAGTGGAAACCTCATAGAAAGCGGTGAGTGTGCAAAGCTGTGCTCAATGTGATTGAGATCTTGGTTTAGAGTTTCTTTGTTTGGTTATGGAGGCGTCTGGCCGAGTAGATTGCTATCAACTTGACCCTTCCAGGCTCTGAGGAAGGCGAAATCCGTCGAAACGTCAGCTTATTCGTGAATAAATAATAATAACACCTCGCGTTTGCTCAACAAAAATACGAAGAATTATCTTCTGATAGCTTTTAGCTGTTTGGTTGTTCTTCGACCCATACATTGCTTTGATTCGGAACGAGTTACATTCTTCTGAGGGTTCCACAGGATGAGAGTAGAATTATGTTCTTGCCTTCGAAAGTTCTCACTTTTTCCTCCAAATTAACAGTTATTCTCACTAGTTTCGCGAAAATACGGGATAATTGTTAGTTTCATTAGCCCATAGATGTAAGTTAAATACCAGTTATAAAAATTTCTTAAAGGGTTTTGACGTTCACAAATAGATTGTCTAGTTGAGCAGATTTTTGAAAGCGTTTTATCTAAAACCTTCTGGGTATAAGGTTTAACAGAAATTTGCTCATTTTTTGTTCTAACTGTAGTAGGCGTGGTGTGAATGCACGTTTAATTTCAGTTACAAGTGGAAAGAATATATTCACGGCGATCTTATTGCTGGACTAACTGTTGGAATAATGCACGTACCGCAAGGTAGGCACAAAAATGAGGATAAACCTCTGAAAACTTTATTTCAACATTGGGTGCCATCCATTTATTTTTTTCATGTGCTTGATCAGTACTGGTCCTTATGGTGTAGTGACACCTATGTTTCTAAGAATGCCTTGGAATGATGGTTTGATGCTAAAATTTCTCTGTAATTTCAGGTATGGCTTATTCAAGTCTGGCTGACGTTCCTCCTGTTTACGGCATGTACTCGTCATTCTTCTCCTCAACTATTTATATGTTTTTTGGAACCTCACGTCATATTTCAATAGGTTAATGTAATTTTCAATGTGTTACTGCTGTGTAATGAAAAGATAGAATCCATTAGTCATACTCTAACTTCTAAAAATATAAAATCTCTGCGTAAAGTTGGAAGAAATGCTTTCATCTTTCCTCTTGCATTGAGCAGGAGAATCGAGGCCGAAGCCACAGCGAGTTCAAACTCTTTTTGGTCTTAATACAACCATAGTGATGCGGCTCGTTCAGGGGACTGACGTGTTACTGTACCACTGAGGTCCTTGCTTTGCCTTTCTTTCAGTCAGTTTTTATCCGGACGGTGCTATCAGCTACCACTCGTCGAGGGAATACTACTTTTCTTTTTCTCAGTGTTTTTTTGGTGTTTAAAAAAGAGAGGAAAGGTTTTTGAAATGACCCAATTCCTCAATTTTTGAGTCGCTTTCTTTTTGAAACACACAAAAAGGTTGCAGGGTAAGGAGTTATGTTCTGACGCAGAGACTTGCTATCCTAGAATGGCTTGAGCCGTTTCTTCTGGCAGCGAGAAAGGAAACAGTTATCCAAAAATTGATAGAGTAGTGGATTGTCTTTAGTTTTTTGATAATGGGATTCATTGCGTGGTCTACAACAGTAACGGCCACTTTTGGATGCATTACAACAGTTCTATCTTTATCTCAAGGGTGTTTGCTTTGCATCGTGTTCTTCTGTGTTGGAAAATGGTGACCGTTTCAATTATAATTTAAAGACAAAAGAGCGACCAGCTACTTGCTTACCGTATGCGATTGTCAAGGACGAGCCAACACGACGTGCTTTAATTCAATGCTAGTTTTTCGATAAGTGCGGTCAATTCTTCTACAACTACATAAGGTTGCGATCAATTCCTCGACAACTTCATTACGTTTAAAGTGTTGTTCGGCTTTTTTTTTTGAGGCTCTGGAAGCACAGTGCTCAACTACTTTCATTCTAATAAAAGCCCTTATCATTCAGTGTTCGACAAAATGCCGCGTTGATTGATATGATCTCTCTTGCTCCACAAGGACTAGAACTGCATGTGGTGAAGACCTTCGAACGCCGTGATAGAACTGTGCCATGATTGCACGGTCAGCGACATTTGTAAAGAAGATAGACTGCTCACGCTATAGTCGACCCCACACGCAAGGCAATGCTGTTCAACAAGCCTTCCTCCGCCTGTTCATTTGTTGAGCAGCTTCGAAAAAAAAGCACAGAAATTACGTCTTGTGGTTTCTGGAAATTCAGAATTTCATGTTTGTAGAATAAGACAGCTCATTTCTTGTTAGAAAAGATCTGTAAGTTTAAGATGTATTATTTCAATTAATGAAGCTTATTGTAGGGGCTAAGATTTGTTAGTTTCAAGTTTCACTTGTTTTTGGGGTCATGTACATTGAAATTAGTTGGCATCATTGTGGTTGTTTCGACGAATTTGTGAATGGAATTTGAAAGCCAAATATGGTGGCTCTTGTTCATGGGATTAATTACAGATAACGCTTTATTTATTCGTCTTCCAGATTAGGTCTTTCTGAAATCAGAGTCGGAGTCCCATCTGTATTTTTGTTTCTTAAATGCTTTTTATTCTAACTCTAGTTATTATTTTTAAGTGACACATCTTGAGTTAGGGGGCGGATAGCACAGTTGTAGTGGTGTTCTCATCACGAGCATGGTGCTAGTTCGATTCCGCAGCGGGCCAACTAAGCCTCTCATGCCTTCGAGGTCGGGAAATTGGTACGGAACTTGTTTGGGAAGAAAAATCACTCTCTGCGATCCAATTGGGAACGCTCATCCTCAGAGAGAATTACTCGACCAACATTCTACGACATTCAAGATGAAATGAAAATCCTCAAGTAGCGATCTAAGCCAGACGTAAAAGTTGGAAGATCTTCGTGGGCAGTGGATGCGAGGAAACGAATCGAATGTGAGTACTGGAATCCGCATAGTAAACGTGAAGACGTGTCGTATAAAATAAACAAAATAATATCTTGTGTTAGAACAAACTTTATTAATCGAAGTAGAAACCATTGGAATCTACAAGTTTTTGACAACGAGAGAGAAATTTGTTTGTGCCAGTTGCACGAAATTCTGAACTTATGGAGGTAATGAATCCTTTGATGGCACTTCCAGCCTCGGCTTGGTTTCTGAAGGATTTCTTGTACGGGAGCTTGTTGACATGTTTGAAGAGGTCTGTAGAAATGAGTTGGAAATGAGAAATGAGTGGCGACTATGATGGATGAGGCAGAGTTTCTTGGCGCACCCGGTTCGTTGAACCTTTCTAGCTCCCATAGTGTGACGCGTAGCCGTGGGCTATTGTGCAGGATAATCTCTTTCTTGCTTGGATGCTTTCTTTAATAATGTTGGGAAATGCTATTAAAGTTTTAGCTACATTTCATTGATTTGCCATGGGTACTCCGCCGTATTTGTTTCACCTGGACTCAGGAGGATGTGATGAATCAAGCCAATTGTAGACCACCAAACGGTCAACGTGACTTTTTATGGTTGCAGTTTCGACTTTGGGACGTTCTTCGGACCTTCATCGCGGTCCATTCATTGAGCCATGCGTGGCCGATTGTCGTTGGGGATCCATTTGTTGTCACTGTTCACAATGCGGTAGAGAAGCGGGTTGTTTTGATTGGGCAGAAGAAGTGCCGAAGATGCCTCAAAACGGAGATTTCTTCAGTGATCAACCACTTCTTGCGGCACTTATAGCACTTCTTCAACTTTTCAATTATCATTAAACACTCCGAAAGAGTTGAGATGCCTATATGGAGTTCTTTTATAAGTCTAGAACTATGGGGCGTGTGTTTGCTTACAGGGACACCTAAAATTCAGAGGTACGTACGCCACCTTCTTCTTACTGGAAGTCGAATTCGCCACGACGAAATTTCCGAGACCATCGCTACACTGTGCGATCGTTAAGAATTTTTGGCAACGCGCTCCGTAATGTTTCGAGCCGTCTGCACTGCCTGCTCCATAGTTTGAATTCGTAGGATAGATTTACCACCATTTCTGTTTTAACAATTATAAATTCTAAGCTTTAAAATGGGTAAAAAAGACGCTAATTGTATCACAAACGAGTTTTATGCGGGGGAAGTACACAAAACGAGCATTACAGCGATGTAAAACAATGCAGCGGCGTTTCCACTAGAAAGCCCAGCTAAGAGTAAACCAATACCAGGACTCACCACCATCCTGGAATCAAGGTTACATGATGGCAAATTTCCGTCTGATCCAGAAAGACTGCGACTGCCTGTGGTGGTGACGACCTGAGGCAGACTTTAGTCAGGCTGACCTCAGGATTCCAAAGATTCACAATGGCAAAACCAGCAAATCTCCGAAAAAGTGGACATTATTCTGACGTCCGCACAATCAGTGTGGGCGTGCCATCCAAGTATTCCAAGTCAGAACAATGCAGCATTGGAAGAGAAAGTGTTGCTAAGACATTTACGAGAAAAACGAAATTACAAATCCGCCATTAATTTCCGAACAGCATAATATTAAACCTTCGAAGAGTTCCTCAGTTAATTTCCCATGTTACATAGTTTAGGTGTATTTGCTGTCGCTTCTCTGATGGTTGGCGCTACACTGATTCGCCTCGCACCTGATCCCGACGATCGATTTGGTAACTCAACATCTCCGATTGGTGATGTGGATCCTCTCGTGATAACAAGCTCTCTGGCGTTTATTGTTGGCGTCATTCAGGCGAGGTCTTTAGAAACAGGTTGCTTAGAGTAGAGCATGAAAATTAAAATAACTTTTCTAGATTTTAGAAACTGCGAAATACCTCTATAAAGCATAGCTTTTTTATTGAGCTTATTCACATAGGTTTTGAAAACTAGGCTTTCAAGTCCAGTGATCAGGATAGACGAGAACTTTTCCGATTACTGCACTGAAGACATGAATAGATGAAAATCCGTTGATGAGAACGACATAGAACGACAATAGCGCCAGTTTACGCTTATTGGATATATTAATAATCTTCCGGCCGAAGTTTGCTTAGTAGATTAGATCTTCTGGCAGTATTAACTGCTTATTAGCTGCCTACTACATTTTTTTATGGCAGGGCATTATGCGAATGGAACCACAATAGTGCTGAGATATTTTCAAACTGCCTGAGTGCTGCTGACTGTAGTAGGGAATGAATGCGCTATTACCCTTTCCGAGAGCTAACACGTTCACCGGCACGCCATGCGGGTCCTTCGTTTCGCCTGTCTCTAAGCTAATATCTCAGCTTCTAACAATATTAGTGTTGACTATGATAGATGAAAATATTATTATTCGGTATGTATAGATTAGAAAATCTGTTCGACTTTCAAGAACAGTGCAGTTCCACCAATACAATTTCAGATAGTGTTTGGAGCGCTGCGACTCGGTTTTCTCACCACATATCTCTGTGACCCGTTGGTATCTGGATTCACCACTGGTTCTGCAGCACATGTCCTTGTTTCACAGCTGAACAAGGTTCTTGGGGTAAAGCTGCCCAGGCATGAGGGTGCTGGAATGCTCATAATGGTTAGTTGGTTAATGGAGACAATTGAATAGCTCACCTTGATTATTACGAGACCTGAGGACTTTTCTTTCCTCAGAGTTTCAAAAGCAGACCTCTACAGCTACATAACTAAGTTAAATAGTCTCTTATCTAGATGGTAAAAGGCATCAATGACATCAATATTAGTGTAAGAGGGAAAAGTCATTAATGCCGTAGCTGATGCCCACGATGATTAGGAAAAAAGACAGAAGTCTCAGAGAATGTTGGACCCGTTATGTATCATTTATGTTTGGTACTAATAATCATTATGTTACTGAATGAGAGTACAAAGCGAGAGTTTGAATTTTCAACGTTCTAAAGCATCTTTGTTCTTATGGGCCAGACCCTGTATCTTCTTTCCCTCAAAATCGTCATGATTAGTCATAGCTATCATCTGGAATAGGGGAATATATAAATTTTTTGATGACAAAGGTTACTTCCCAGCTTGGAGCTGGATCGAATCTACGCACCAAAGAGACGGTAACTGGAAATTTACAGAGAAAGTAATTTTGGTTCGAAATGGGCTGTTGATAAATTGGAGCGTTTATGCTGTTGAAACATATCTATGCTCTACCTCTACCTCAACGCTTCATTTGTCGTGGAAAAGATCAACTCAGCGTTTGGGAGAACGATATAAGCTGCGAAAATCTGCTTCGATCTGGATAGCCGGTCACATTGAACATATGAGCTAGCAGCTGTGCATTCTTCATCCGCATCGGCAATACTCTCAGTGAGGTCGTGGATGGAATGAGAGCCAGGTTTGTGTAGGAGCAAGATCTGCCGGGCTTTTTCCAATCGAAAATTCTCGCCAGCATGACACACACACCCACTTCTCATGGTTGTAAGATGATATCCTCCCTCTGGGATTCGTAAGGTATGATGCATTTTTGGGATTGGGTGAACAGAAGGAGATTGTCAAAATCAACAGCCTAAAATAATAACTGCACAAGCTCACGGTTGCCGTTAAAGAGCAGTAAAGCTAAATATGGTTCGGCATTTGCATGAAAACGCTAAGCATAACTTTGTAATAAATTGAAAGATGCGATCTCCGTTTTCGTCATAGAAAAATTAGTTTAGAACCCAAACAAATGGTAGAAAATTATAGTTGTCTTATGCCTCTTTCTGAATATTTTTACTGTGGAGTCAATGTGTGGTTCAAATCTGCCGGAATGTGTATTCCGGTCTTGTAGTATGCGTCAGATATAAATGATAAAAGGCTCAGCTTTTTAACTAATTATTTGCCGCCTATTCTTTTTCACAGCAGGTTATAAATTGCGAAATATAACTTTAATGATGCTGAGATATTTGCGAAACTCCGGACCGCAGGTGTCTGGGGTGGGATCCCGTTGACGGGTGATTACTGATGCAAAAGATCGATAGAACGAGCTGAGGGACAGGGGAAACGAAGGACCCGGATGGTGTGTGGTGAAAGCGTTACTCCCCGGAAAGGACAATAGCGCGTTCGTTCATCGCTCGTTGGTTTATGAACGAGACACCTGTACACTACTACACAAGGCGTCGTAGAGGTGATTGAATGCGTGTTTGGTCTGTAGAATGACTTTCGAGGGTTTACCGATTGGCCATGTTAACCCATTCTGTCGCCCACTTACACCTGAGTAATTGTGTCATTGCAGGATTAAAACTTTTCAACAGTGGTAAATAGCGAGCAGGTTAGTTGGGAAGTTACCTTTCGCGTCGTCAAGGATCGGATGAGATCTTAAATGTGGACCGAAAGCGACCATATGTAATGTTAATCTTGTAATATTTAGATTTCGAAGATTGTGCTTCTCTTTTTTCGTACACCAGATTAACTTATAGCTTTCGCGTATACTCCACTATCTATAAATGCATGTTCTGGTTCTGCATAAATGTGCATGATGCCATTTATCTGTCGTTGGGAGGACTGCAAAGGTCAAATCTGGCTAGGTTGTCGCAAAAAACTTTAAAAGAACAGGACTTCATTTTAAAAACCGTGGTGCATATCGTGTACTTCTAGTCATCTATTCCCACGGTTTAGCTCCGGTATGTGGTAGGTGTGAAGGGAGACTTCACGGTGTTTAACGGATCTGAAATTAATGGAGATGAAATAAACTAGCCGCTAATTATCTGCCAGTTTACTTCATATCACGCAACGGTTTACCGCCTCATCGTGGCTGGGAGGCGTTCCTAGGTATCGGGCTGCGATATACAGCAGGGCGATTCATTCTCCTAGTGGGGTTTCCCAAGCTGAGAAGGAATCCGACGTTTCCATCAGGAAGCCTAGCTAAGAGTAAACCAATACCAGGATCCATCACCGTCTTGGCGCCAAATTAGTCGCATGGCAGGAAATCCACTCTGATCCACAAGGGCGACGACTGCCTATGGTGGAGAGGACCTGAAGCAAAGTTTGGCCTGGCTGATCTCGTGATTCCAGGGAATCACAATGGGTAAACCAGCAAAATTCCGAAAAAGTAGAGATTACGCCGCGCCCCGCACAACCAGTGAGGACGGGCCATTAATTTAGCGAAGTAAGTTTGCTTCATAAAGCGATGATTATTACGTTAAAGCGAGACTATTATGATTCAATTCAACTTTTGACTCAGTTTGCCGTGAAGTAGATACTAAGAAAGGACTCTTTGGATCATCCACGTTTCAAGCAATTACTTTTATTGTTGTATCCATCCACTACATATTGGCAGCTCAGAAGAAAAGGTAGACAATCACTCACTGAGGACGTATAATGTCGTTAAAATGTCAAATACAAAACGAAAGAGCATCCGAACACATTGTACCATCTGCTTAAGATAATTACTATGGAAACCTTTACCTCAATAAAAACGTTCCAGATGATTCGCGATCTAGTCTACTCTGTTCCGTTGGCGAACGTGACCACTGTGCTGATATCAGTCTTCGGGATACTTTTTTTGGATCTCGGTAGAACGCATGTAAACTCACGTGTGAAGCGTTTCTCACCTGTGCCTCCTCCTCTTGAGCTTATTCTGGTGGGTATCGTTCCCTTGTTCTATTTTGCAATTTTACATTTTATGGGAACTACTCGGTGCAGAAGCTTTTACTGTGTGACTTTCTCTCAAGGCAACCACTAGTATGAGGTTTCTAGGTATCACTTCTGATAATATTCAATTGTTCAGGTGATAATTGGCGTCATTGTATCAGTCGCACTCAATCTGAACGAGAATTATCACGTTTCGATAGTGAATACCATTCCAAGAGGGTCGGTTTTTTAGGTATTTTTGCTTACATCGGTATATAAATTATCGGTTTAAGGAGATAACGCGATCTTTAGTTGTTTATTATCCCTCTCTATTCATGTTTTACGTTGGAGTTGACATTGTTCCAAATCAACTGTTAATCTTAGGATACATATCTGAATCTGCCAAGTGTTGAGTTTCTATGGAGGCTGTGTTCACACCCCACCTTGGATCTTGACATAATATTTTTCCATCCGAGGAAGTACGAAACATAAAATTTATGAAAGGCAAGGAAAATAGAGAAGTTTGGAGAAGAAGAGGCTTTTTTTCCTTTTGCTATGTATATTTTTTTATTTAACACGACCCGTCGTCACAACTGTTATGCGGATCCTAGCACTTCATGCATTCTATTTGTTGATATATTTATTTATGTGATCTTATAAACTGATCTTCTTAAGCTGACGCGAGGTTGGTACAGATCTTCGTTGTCGTTGTCGTTGTTTTTGATGTTATTGATCGATGGTTGACGTTTCGGCGACTTCACCTTCCTCAGAGCCTGGACGTATTTTATGTTAGAATACTTTTTATTATTCAGTGGAAAAGAAAGGCTAAAGTATTAATGAAGATCAAACTTTCAAATAGACGCCATATTGAACAGAAAGGCCACTCACCGTGATGTTACGTGTGGGACTGGCCCAGACGTAGTTCACGTGGGGTCGCTAGCAAGACATGTCCCGGGGTCAAAATATCATTTTGAAATAGGACTCCAGGTCACGTGTGATAGTGCGGCATTCGTCTTTCCGGTTCATCTTTGGAAATATTCTATTTGTTTTCTTCACATTCATCGTCCACAAAGGTCTTCGAACACCTCGCGTGTTGTTTCAGTTGTTGCTTAAGGATTTCGTCTCCTTTACGAATGTCGTAGAATGCTGGTTGAACCGGTTCTCCTTGCAACCTTAGTGATAGCCGGGCCAAGGCGTTCTCACATGGATTGGAGGAAAGCGTTGAGGAGGAGGTCAAACTAACGTCTTTGCTTCCTGATTGACGCCATCACTAATCACTGCGTTATCTCTGCTTCTTTGCTATGTACACGCATGTGGTTACATGAAACAGAATCTCCGTGTTTTTTAATTTTAAAATGAAACCACCACATTGGCATGTAGTGCGTAGAGCTCAGACGTATTTGTTATGCGTGGGTGCGTTTACTATCATTTTCTTTCGAGCTCGCTCACATCTGTACGCGGTCATTTAATCCGCAGTTCTATTTTTTGCTGACTTTTTCTTCGTTTAGTTTCCCATTACCATCTTTGCCGAACATTTCGTTAGCTCCTCACCTAATCTCCGACGGCATCGCAATCGCCGTCATCTGCTACATGTTCGTGATGTCAATGGGAAAGCTATTCGCTAGGAAGCACAAGTACAGGACTGATGCTACGCAGGTTCACACAGAAATTTTTTTTCGATGAATTTTCATGTCATCCGACGTTTACTTTTTATGCGAAGGCTGTCCACGCCGGTACAGAGTGGAATATGCCAGAAATCGCTGGCTTTCTGGTAGAAACTTCTAGGTGCAAAGCAGCGATCCTCCTATTCCACAAGTTCAGCGAACATCCTGCGCATACAATCTGACAATGCACCGGGCCTTCTTGCTACTCGAAGGAAAAGAAGCGTTCAGCTAACAAATAGTTATCTAGTAGAAATTATGTTTAAGCCTGCAATACTATGAGAGCGCTCATTCATGTACTGTCTGTGAATATTATGTTTTTGTGTTTAATAAAAAGCAGTAAATTTAACAGTTAAGGAAAGTCATTTCAGGAATTTTATGCCGTTGGAATAATGTCAATAGCATCGTCTTTCTTCCCAGTATTTCCGGTGGGTGCCTCACTTTCCAGGTCGTCCGTCTGTGAAATGTCAGGTGCAAATACCCAGGTAATTTACTTGGTCGTAACCATAAGGGTACTGTATTATTTTTTTGTTTGTATCATTAATTATTCATTTCTTTCTTAAAGGCTAAATCGCTTTAGTGTCTGTGGAAGATGCAAGCTAAGAATATAGGGCGTGCATAAGTCAGTGGTTAGAGGCCCCTTGTAACACGCAGATAGTTCGTTATGACGGCTCAATCAAGAGACAGGAGCTGACGAAGGCTTCCATCTTTTTATGGTCTCGGTGGTACCTGATTTGTTTGGGAGAATAAAAATATTGACTCCATGCATCGATTGGATACCACAAGTCATTGTAAAGGCCAAATATGCATTCAGTCATCTATGCGATGCATAAAGACCTCTGATGCATAGCGTATCCCGTCATCCTTTATACTCCGTGTTGTACTCTAAGAATGATAATTAGTAGAATTAGTAGATTCAAGAGCCAATGAGAAGTTCTGAAATAATATTATTAGAGTTGTGGTATGATCAAAATAGGTCTTCACAACCACAAGGATGCTGACTATAGCAAAAATTAGAACGTCGGTTGACTTCGAAACCGCGATTATTTTTACCGAGGGCAAATTTTGTCATTGCTATCAGCAACCATTCGTCAACGAGAATGATCTATGGAGCACAATCCGCATTGGATCTAGTGAAGGTGAAGATGGTAGAGTAAAAAAAACCGGCTTGTAGAAAGGCGAAGCAAGGGACTCCATTTATGGCGTGTATAGCACGTGAGCCCCTGGCAAGAGATCGTGAGTTCGAAGCTCAGCTAAGATTCAGAGTTTTGCTCATGGCGCGACATCCTTGCGATTGTAGCTCACATCGAACTTTGCCATGAAAAAAGAGTGGGTAGTAAGTGAAAGTTAGAACATTGGGTCCAGAGTATGTTGCGAAATATAACTCTTATACGCGTTCGTTCCCCACCGCATACACCTGCGGTCCGGAGTTTTGCAAATATCTCAGCATTATATACGAGTTATATTTCGCAACATACCCTGTCATTGAAAAGAAAAAGGCAGTAAATAAAAGGGTTAAGATTGCGTCCAGACTTATTTTTGTTTCATTTTCTTCCGATAACCAGCGAGGAAATCAACGAAGTATGTTTGATTCACTCAACACGTTTGCTAAAAATATCATGGTGTACTTTACCATGTGCACATATTTTTTTGCATTAAATTTTATGGCTCCGAGAAATTCATTCTGCTGAACATGAATAGAGCTATAACAAATCCGCTTCTCATGAACATCATTTTCATGAGATTCGATAGAAGAGCAGTTAGTTGTTGATAACAGCAAGCATTTGTTCCTTTATACGAAAGTATGAAATAATGTTATCCCATTCCATTTTTCACGTCACGGTTTTGAGAGTGGTTGTAAATAATTCTAGCGGGATAGTATCATCTTGGCGAACTCCCGTTCTTACGTCGGCGTAAACGTTGTCGCAGAATGGTGATGTTCTTGTTGTGAAGTTATGATATAGCTTCCAAAAGATCGCTATCTGCTGAGTAGCGACTTACTGCCTGTCCACGGCTTCTAGGAGCACTTCTGTTTCACCTCAAAGCCTCTTCTCAAGTCGATGAAAGTGATGCATAGCGGTCTGTAGCACTCTTGCGATACTTCACTGAATAGTGTTTTCGTGTGGATGTGATATATCATACTGAGTTCTTTTTGAAAGCCTGCTTGTTCCTATGGCTGTCCTTCTTGTTGTTGTGTTAAACCCTTTAATGACCACTTCAGTGAAGAGGCTATGAACGACAGACAGCAGGTAAATTGAGCGCTGTTCACTGACGACGTGGAATTTTTCGTTTTGTGTAACCACAATGACTTACTGGTTTTCCATTAGCAAGAGTTTGCATTTCAACACTTAACGTATGATTAGCCAAGTTGCGTGTCGCAGAGAGCTAGCGGAAGATTCTTCAGGTGACGTGGTCTAATATTGTCTGAAACTTGTGTTGTAGGGTACTTCATCGACAAAATCCTCTCGGAAGGATCTCGGAAGTAGGATCGGTGAGACGGCCTACCTATTCTCCTTATATTTATTTGTGGGCAGAAGGACGTGGTTGTTGGAGAGATCAGAGAAATAGTCGTAGATCATTTTCTCCATTGCTCTTATGGACACTCTTGTAAATGGCCAAGTTTCGGCGGGCGTTGCGAATAGTTTCACCAATTTCTACCGCTTCGGCCACTGTTAATTCGAACGTGAATTGGTCTTTGCTTGTTGAGACAGGTTTTCTTGTGATATTTGAACGTTTGGCTTCTTCAGCACTAGCGTGGAGGTGTTGGTTAGTCTCCTGTTGTATTCTTCACGGATGTAGTCGTTAACGACATCTTATCGAAGTATTATGATCTGAACAAATTTCAAATTACAGTAGATTTGGAGTTTGTTCTTGACTTTTATAACGGTAATTTCCAGCGTTGGCTCATCGTATTTAGCCCTCTTATCCTCATATCTTCGATCTTTTTACATTTTCGTTCAGATGCTAGTTATTCAGTTCAGGATTCAGATGCTAGTGTACGTGCCTTATAAGTAAGGGTCAACAGCTTATTTTTTCAAGATTGGAGCAACCTTAAGTGATACTGTTATTCTGGCCATTTCTCCGTACTCGTTCTACCCGTGTTGCCTTATTGGCGGCTAAATATTTAAAACCCGCATGTATAAGAGCATTCCCACGGATGTATGCATGAATCTTCTACTTAAATACAAAATCTGCATGCCAAATTCGCGCAGAAGAAACAGAGAATCAATTCCTTGAACTTTAAATCTCAGGAAGACACAAGGTTCCTTTTGGTATCCGTTAATCCTATCGGCCACCCGAGAATGCGCGCTGTAGCTTCTCGTCCAGCGGCTAGGGATGCCTCAGTGGTAGAGAACCGTCTGTGTTAGGACAAGAGATAAAAAACAGCATGAGGGAAAAGGTAAGGAACTTTAGAATTTGCACATTTTCGTAAATAAGGTACAAGTTAATTAATTCCGGTGGTAAAAATAAAATACCGTTGTCAAAGCGGCAAATATCTCAAAGGCGTTTCCAGCAGTGGTATAATTATTGGTGGCTTTCCCAAATAGTGTGGTACTTGTAAAACGTGGTGGCCAAACAGCTTTATTACGAGTGGTCTATGGGCGAGTACAATTACTATTGCGTTTGTTGAAATAAAATAATTAAGTTGTTATTTGCTCCTTCATAGTACTGTTCTCGGACACTAAACACCATAAATCTCCTTAAGGTTTCTGTTTCAATAGCGCTCTCGTTACTGAATACCTTCGCAAGCTTTGCTAAAGTGAAAAAACGAGATTCAATTTGTTAAAGATGTGGCGAATATGTAGGTGTGAATGCCAACGGTCTCGGACTTTGCAGTCCTTATTTAACATTCTTCGGACAATACTTTTGTGCCGCAACGGTTCTAGCGGCATTTGAGTTCTGGTGAATCATGTTATCCTTGTTTTGACGCAAAATTAACTGTCATATTTTCACATATGCATCTCGTTTTTTCGTACATTACAACTTAATTAAAATCGTTTTTTCTGCAAAAGAGAAGCGGAGTTGGTTATAAGGGCGATATATTTAACGTTCTTTCAATTCACGCCTCATTAAAGTGCTGTGCAATAAAAAAAGGATAAAATTGACGGCGTTGATCAATCCCTGAGGGATGCTCCATTCATTCGACATCAGCAAGCACCGTTGGAGGTGATTGAATGCATATCTTGCCTTTACCATAACTCGTGGTGGTCTACCAATGTATCGAGCCATTGCTGCTATTCATCTAGACAAGTCTCCTACCAATTTGCTGACCTCGGTGGGATAGAAGTTTGGTGGGCGCGGAGCACGGAGATCGGTCCCCTGTGTATTGCAGGGCGCCTCCGATCACTGCGTTACAGGCGCGCTACGTAATACGACAATAAAAAAAGGTGAAGCTTCATTTGAACTCTTGGATTTGATTTGTTTAGTTCTACACGGTGTTCTCGTCGGTTTTACTTCTCACGGTGATTCTATTCCTAGGACCGTTTCTCGAACCGCTTCCTATGGTGAATTAGTTCTTAGAATTCTTCTTAAAACAACTGATAAACAGGTTTAAACAGTAGTTAATAACAACCACAGGTACTGGAAAATTATTTTTTTTTTTGAACTTGTAATTTCGCGATTAATTAAATCTTTTTTATTATCGATAATTTGTTCGGGGTAGTTCATATTTCTGGAAAACTTCCAGTGTATTTTGGCTTGTATAGTGATCGTGAGCCTCAAAGGGCTATTTCTACAAGTCACCGAGCTGCCCCGTTATTGGAGGATCAGCAAATATGACTTCGTGAGTTACGTTATGTTCTCTTTACTGAGAAGGGTTAAAGGGAATCGTTCTATGATGTTGCTTTTACTGAAAAGAATTGAAGGAGAACGTTTATTTCGCAGTTCATATGTATTCGTTTACTTCCTTTGTTTATTCCTTTAAATTTCGAAAAAAGTGTTCCAAAAACGAACGACTTCCTAAAAAATCGTTTGGAGATGCTTCATTATCTGTTAATTGGTAATCTGTTTGATTAAGGCAATTTGGTTGGTGGCCTGCTTGACCACAGTGTTCACCGATGTCACTAAGGGACTCGTTATTTCATTGGCGTTCGCACTGTTTACAATCGTTCTCAGAGAACAATGGTACGTCCAAGATTGTTAAAAAAACATTTGTTAAAAGCGAAATCGAAGTGACTTGCAAAACCATAGGGTGTTGAGATGTAAGCAAAACTCGGACCCTCAGTTGGAGTTCGAACCACCTCAGGATATGAGTTTTGCTCATATCTCAGTATCCTCCTGATTACATTTCACGTTTATCATATTGTGTTTTCCATAAAAAATAAATAGGGAGGAAAGCAAAGATGGAGCGGTTGCTCTGAAGTCGTTGAATTCATACTGGTTTGCACTGAAAGTATAAAAAGTTTGACCGTTCGAACTTTAGCAAGGCGCTTCCATTTGTAAAGCATCTCTCAGGAAGTGCGAATATTTATATGTCCGACATCTGATGTGTACAATATCACTAAATTGTCGTTCAGTTAGGGTGCTCTTTTTCTTCCAACCGGAATAGGAAATGGCATAATTGATGAACTTTGTTCATAGCGTTGATCAGGCTCAGTGGCGTGCTTAATCGATGCTGTTTCTTTATACAGTATAAAAACTTGTCGGGATAGTGTGTTGTTTTGCGTTCGACAATGAGTTACGAAGGCTTATAAGTTTGTTATGATTCGCAAAGGAGTCAATTTACGGTTCTAGGATGGTATGGCTTGGTATGTCTGAGCGAAGCTACGGACCACTTGCCTAAGTGATTGATGACTAGTTGCTGCGTTGTGTCCTCTAGTAACTCTTTTTCCTTCCTGTTCAATGTTTGATTTTTTTTTTGCATTTTATTGCTTTCAGTTTGGAATACGATAATTGAAGGGAAACTTTATACCTCACTTCTTGATCTCATCCAACTGATTTATCTGTCTCTCTTCACTGCCCACTTTTGTTTTAATAGATCGGTTTTAGGACACTGGCTTGCTTTTGTAAAGCAAAGCTTCGCACCAACGTCGTGACATTTTCAGGCCGCAATTTTCTGCCATTCAAGTAGACGAAGCTGCCTCGAAACATGTTCCTGAAGGAGTGTCTGTACTGAAATTCGAGTCACCTTTACACTTTGCTAATGTGACTTTCTTTATGGATAGGATAAATGAGGTGATCTCGACAGCAAGAATTGAGGTAGCATAGAATTCAAGTACTAACCCTTTTATTATTGATGTTACTAACACTTATTAGCACATTCGCCGCAATTCATTAGGTTACAGAATTTTTCTCACACTTTGCATGTGTACTCGGTAAGTAATCCGAAGCCGATTAATGTAGAAGGGCTTGGACTGGAAAACTGTCTCTCTGGATTTAATGGTTTACGAAGAACTCTTTCTGTGGATTTAATGGTTTACGGAAAACGTCTCTTTCCGACAAGTTCAATGATCGATAACTGGATTAATCGCTGTGGTGAATCGACGCTATCGTATGGAATGTGTGGGTATAAAAAAATACCGGAATAAGCTCAATATAAGCTCCATATCTCTTCCGAATGCTGACAACAATGTGTTTGAGTGATGAGCTGCAGTAATACATTGTAAACATAAGCATATATAGAATTCGCACCTAGGGAACGATTGAGCAAAGTCTGTTCTACTATCCTCGTGCCCTCTTGTTCTTGAAGAATTATTGTTCAGGATAGGAAAAAGTATGTCCGAAAAAGTTGAAAATGAGGCGTTTCCTAGCAGCAGGTCCGCTAAACGCCGCGTGTCGCGAATGTGTTGAAGGATGAGTTAGTGATGATCGATATGTAATTTGAATTTCCTTCATAGGTAGTCCAGTTGGTTGAAAGATTTTAAAAAGTTTCACAGTAGTAGTGGATAACTGGATGATCCAAATTATTAACAAGTATGCCACTTTTCTCTTTAGTTGTTTGAAATTCTCATCGCATGAGAGCGTTGTGCTAGCTTTTAATTTGGGCAGAGACTTTTCAAACCAGCCATGTGTACTCTTCGTTCTGATTTCCAAGTGTTGACAGTCGCAAGGAAATCCAACACTGGTTTAGGCCTGCCTATAATCCGCTTCAAATTAGAATTTATAAAAGAGAAAATCTTGTAGTAGGGAGGAGCAGCCGTCTAGTGTAAAATAGAAGCGGTGTTGAGTGTTCTGCATCTTCTTTACGAATTACTCGATGGTTCGTACATCTGGTAACTGGCTATCTCGTTCAATATTGAGCAGTTCTGGCTTCATATCCCTGAGCATGCTAATTTCACATAGATGGGGGTGGGGAGGTGGGTGATAAGGTGTAACACAGTGCTTATGGTGCAGTCGATTAGGAAATACGGTGCTGGCTCGACCTCTACTCCAGTGCTCCCCTCCAGTTCACATGGGAACGCTTTAACTCAACTGTTTGCCACATTTCAAGGAAATCGCACACAGCATGCATTCTAAGATACTCACAAAGAAGGCGAAATCGTCAAGAATTAAGCCGAGGCAATATCGGAGTTGTTCGAAGGCCTTCGTATACAATGAATGTAAGGGAAACGAATCGAATGCCAGAGGTTCTGGTATCCACGCAGTAGATGTGACAACAGATCATGTGGAGTGAAGAAATAAATGCCAAACCGATGGAGACCCTTGTCTTGCTGTAAAGCAGTTTAGTAAAACACTCTGAAGAGTTTGAGTTAGGTAATACAACCCGTTTGATTTACTCACGCAAGGACTCCTCTTAAAGTACTGAGGAGACACTGAATAAAGAGCACCTTCATTGTTCAAACCAACGATCACTTCTTTTTCTCCACTTTCTTTGGATTAATACCGTGAGAAGGAGTTTCATTGTAAGTTTCTTCCAAAATGTGGACTTCTCCGTATAATATGATTTCCAAGTTGATCTCAACAAGTTCTTTTACTGTTGCATGTTTCGAGATCAGTGGCCCCTCTTGCTTGAGAATGACTTCTACTAAACAACGCCTGCTCTTCACTGTCACCATACTAAGAACGTTAGTGATAGTGTTAGCCTTTTATTTTCCGCCTGCTATAATTTCTGACGAAAGGCTGTGACGTGATTTACAACCAAAACGATGCTGAGATATTCGCAAAATGTGGAATGTGGGCCAGATCGAACCACGATTTCCCTTTCCGGGAGCTCGCGCATTACACGCTGCACCACAGAAGCCCTTGATCTGCAATTCTCTTAGCTAGTTTTCTACCTAACGCTGACATTAGCAGTCACCGTGTGACGCTGTAGTCGAAATTTCTCATATTATCAGTGTTTCTTTTTTTTTCTTAACTTATCAAATGTTCTCTTGAAAGGTTAAGTTATACTGTCGAAATTTTCACCACTACTCCACGGAAGTATATGTGGAAAATTTTTGCTAGTCGCGAGCATCGAACTGCATTTCGTCCACTTCTGGTAAAGATATCCTTTACATCTATGAATCATCTATTTCTCTATGAATATAGCTTTTGAATTCGTTCGGTGCTTATTAACGATAATTCGGTGAAATACGCGCTTTGGGGAGATCGCAGTGTTTACGATTGTCGTTATTCGAGGAAATGCATTTCATTGTGAATTTGTAGTTATTGTGTATAGGTGGCGTAGAGAGGTGTCATGGCATTAGATTCGGTATGAATTTTCATGTTTTCCAATTCAATAGGCTTTGTTGGGCGGACATGCTATTATAGTGGACTGCTCTGCCATGGCGTATGTGGATAGCATGGGATTGGATGCATTGAAAGAGGTATCTTTCAATCAGCCTACCATTATATCTCGACGTTCTGGGATAAGATTCGAATTCCAGCTCTACAATGATGCCAAGAGGAACGATATCGTATTACAGTATTGTGGACTGAACGGTTAGTTGTGATTTTTATTCCCTTATCAGTCATGAAATGGTCATCAAAAAATTGATTACCTTTTTGTTTTGTATGGACAATTTTTTTCCAGTGTTTACATATGTTTGGACTCTTCTAACCTGTAGGACCTTCAGTGTCGGTTTGGAATTGTTCTTCAGAAATACGATCATTATGATGAGCCTCTGTTTCGAAGTTGTCTAAGATTAGTCCGTAACGGGCATAGTCTTCCTTCTCTAAAAGGCTTCCACAAACCGGTATATACAATCTTTCGATGTTGCTTCGTCATACTTATATGCTGGGCCGTAGAGAGAAAGCCAGCATTGGTCCATTTTTTATCCGTGACTTTCGGATTCACGTGATTACTTGTTCAAAGGTATCAATGTTTAGCTGCAAGCTCGCGTTTGGAATGGAAAGTAGTTCCGGCAACACATGTTCGAACGAATCGTTATCTTACGGAGTGGTAACCGTGCGGGATTCAATGGGCAATACCTTGTCTTGTCGACCGTTCGTTGACCTCATACTGTTCTCGCCTCCAGCAAAGTCATATCGTCAGTGACAGCTTCAGAGAGATTCAATCTGCATATACGAAGCCGTATCTAAGAACGAATGCATAGATGTGTGTATGCAGTTGAAACGTGCATGTCAGTTCGGCGCAAGAAAGTTAGGGAGCAGTAAATAAATCTGATTCGAGATGCGCCTTAATGCAAATAGATGGTCATTTTCGGTCAGCGCTTAACCTCCCACACTATCTGTAGGAACTCGACCTACCCTCGCTAGAAACCGTCGGATCGTCTCTGAATGAGGGTGGACAGTTTCCCATCTTTCTAACTTGGACAGACCTTTTTGTATTGTTAAAAAGTGACAAAGGAGGGTGATGAATATAAATTATGCGTAATCGGTGTTTGATTAAACTTCATACAATCAAATCTGTAGTGACCTTACGTTTATTGTAAACCGGTAGGTACTTGGATTGTAATTACGGAGGTTTTCAATTTCAACTAATCAGCTTGCGTTTTCTTTCTTTTTTTCGTATTTATTACGAAATTCACCGTAGCCATTCTTCGTGGTCAGGGAGTGAGTTGTGTGCATTTCAACATTTCCGCTGGTTATGCTTCACGTCAGTTTTGGTGCTATGAACATTCTGTTTAATACTAGGAAATTCATCTTCTGCGACGTTATGAATAGGTCGTAGTTCGATCTATGTCTTGATTCTTGCTTTGTTTAACTATGTGCAATGGTTGCAAGCTGTTCATTAGTCGGCAGTCATGCATCTCACTTGCATGCGCTCCCATTCTTGCTTTGAGATGGTGCTCTAGCGATTGTCTCTACAAAGCTTCGGCAGGATTGTATCTCTTTCCATCTTCACGCCTACGATGGAATTCCACAGAGAAAAGAGAAATATCTCTTTCTTAACAATATCTTCTTCAATTATAGAGCTGGATCGAGATTAGTTTAAATATTTATTCGGTTAACGTTTCAACGTCTTGGTTTTCTTCAGTCTCAGGTGGTCGCCCTCGCGATTTGATTGTTCGTTGTCGCACCGAATGTCGCATCCAATGGATGGAACACCGCTTGCATGAAAATTCTCATTTGGCGGTGCCCTCTCATAAAGGCCGGATCTCGGTCGATTCCATTATATATGATCTGCTTTTTGGCGGGCAATGCGTATCGAAGAAGTCGGTAGTACACAAGGTGACGCGTAGCCTAGTAATACAGTGAGATTCTTCATTTGAGTGATATTCCATCCACTGTATTTGACTCCTTGCGACAACGAACAACGGCATCACGAGGGCGACTACCTGTAGATCACCGACTCCGTTGAATCCGGCTCGGAAGAAGACGGTGACGTCGAAATATTAACCGAATAAGTACTTTATACCTACCTCATGTCACCTCGATAATCAAAGAAGGTGTCAACCACTTTATGAGAGTGGTTTTATAACGTAACGAGTCGAGGATTTGCTTTTCTGAATGACATACTTGGCCCAGCACCTGATCTCAATCTCATTAGTCTTTTTGAGCAACAACTATGTCTTCTTACGTTGTTTTGCGGTTAATTGCGAAAATTGTTTCTCCTCCCGAGATCCACTGTGCTGTTCTTCTGATGCAGTTGTCGGTCATCTCTATTATCGTTTTAGAAATTTACCATTATGATAGTGAAAAGCTCATGATACGCGGGCCATCTCAATGGTTCATCCCCTCAACGTGGCTGGGAGGTGTTCTTGGGTGTCGAGCTGCGATGTACAGCAGGAAGATTCATCCTCCCGGCAGGGTCTCCTGAGCTGAGAAGGAGTCCGGCGTTTCCGTCATGAAGCACAGCTAAGAGTAAACCAAAACCAGGGTCCACCACCGTTCTGGTACCAAACTAGTCGCACGGTGCCAAATCTGCCTCTGATTAACAAGGGCGGCGGCCGCCTGGTGTGGTGACGACCTGGGGCAGACTTTGGCTAGGTTGACGTTGGGACTCCAGAGAACCACGGCTGCTAAATGTGCAAAACTCCAAGGAAATGGAAATTATGCTGGGGTCCGCACAACCGGTGAAGGTAGGTCAACCAAGTGTCTAAGTAAGATAGTGAAAGACAAGGTTTTAGTGTCAGACAAATCCATTTGTCAGTCTTTCTGGCTTTAATAATACCGTTCTTCTTGTTCTTATTAGCTTATTTCGCCAGTTTTCTGACCATTTTTGTGCAGTCACAGTTCATATGTTGAAGTATTATTCAAAAATCCATTAATTCTCGAACTGTCTTGTGGGGTCTTGCGAAAATATCCACGATCTTCTGGTGTTTTAGAGAGAGTTCTCAGTGTTATCCAGAACGACGAGATTTTGAAGACTTCCATTCCACAATCCGTTTTTCGACGATCTGTGAACGATGCACTTCATCATCTCGATTCCGTTCAGAGCGTTTAAATATCGATTTTTTGGTGTTAAGAGTCGTACATGTTATATGATGTTCACTTTTTTTCTTCTGGTAGAAGCTAAATGTTTCCATGTGACTCTTATAAGAAACGCGAGTACTCCTACACTCCAATCGTCCTTGTTGCGTGTTTCTCTCCATGTCTACCCGTTTTATTGTTCCCATTCTGAAATTAGTTTTTGCCGGTCTCATCTCGGTTTTCATTTATTTTCCAACCGACGGTGAAACTGAATCATCAGGACATGTTTGAAATCTTTTCTCGCATTGAAGTGTATGTTGTATACCAATGCAATCTATAAATGTGCTTTTATGGAACGGTGTTTTTTTTCTCAGTAATCTTTTTTGTACGGTATCAATTTGGTATATAAAAGATGTATCAAGAAAGAAGGATGGAACGGCTCGAAATGCTGGTATGCCCACGTATCAGAATACACTTGGAATTAAGCAGTAATTTCTTGAAGGAAGAGGGTTGTCTTGTAGTACGCCATTTGCGTAAGAATTTTTTGAGTCTGTAGGAAAATATTCGGTCAGAAGCAAAAGCTTTTGGCAAAAAATTTCGGACGAAAAAAGATGATTTTGGATGTACCCTTTGCGTCAGTTCTTGCAAAATCCTCTCGTCATTGAGTGAATTGGTACCGGAAAGTAGGAAGACGCCGTCAGAGAAAAGCTCTGCATCTTCTCTGACAAATCCTGGCTTACGCCTAGGTTTTCAACTTATACTGATTTGGGCTAACAGGCAGCCATCAACGCTTTTATCCAAAACAATATAATGTTTTACGAATGTTGTTGATATTCGGCTACTTCCAGTACTGCAACTTCTTCCTTTCTAAGAAGTCGTTCCACCGCATTTTTTTGGAAAGCTTACCATTCAAGAAGATAAGCTGATCGTCAGGAGGGATCGCCGCGACTTCATATTGCTATGTGGCTCGTGGTACTTCTCATTGCCAATTATTTCATGAAAGCCCTTGAAATTTCTAATTTTTCTACGGCTATCGTAAGAGCAGTGAATGAGTACGTTAAGGTAGTGTGAATTGTCGGAATGAAAAGTGGCCACATAGTCGGGCATTCTATGTCTTGCGCACTAAATCCTTAGTGCACTTACGTGCTCATCAATCCGCTATCTTTCACTATATTAAGCTCTGCGACTACGAGAGCCATTATTGTAGCTTTCTGAACTACATGCACAAAATCAATCGCTACTTTCTTTGCTGATAAGCTAAGATGAAGTTGGTGTCAAGCCTTATTTGCCTAACGTTCCAACTTCTTCCTCAGAGCGACTACAATCTGAGCCGATCTTCCGTAGTCGTTCGTCTTCGCAATATGAGTCTTTGTAGTTGTGTAAAGTCGAATCTTCTTCAGTGGAACACCGTTTCAATGAAATGTCGTGTGGCAATGACCTTTCCTACTGGACTGTTGTTGGCTTACTGATTTTCCTTTAATAACAATTCATTTTCACCGGGCAATCCGTTCTACAGCAGTCGATATCAGATCGACTTGCACAATACGAAAAAGTATTTAAATTATTTGAAATATTTAGGAACTGGGTGAACATAATGTTTACTTTTTATTTGCTGACTATTAATTTTCTTACGGCAGAATATTATGAGAAATATAACCACAATGATGCTGAGATTTTTGCAAAACTCCGGATCACACATCTCTGCGGTGGGGAATGAACGCGCTATTACTCTTTCCGGGGGTTAACGCGTTCACCACTCCACTATGCAGGTCCTTCGTTTCGCCTCTCTCTCTCAGCTAGTTTTCTATCGATCAGTGCCATTAGCAATCACCCGTCAACGGATAATAGCGAGTTCGTTCCCCACCGCAGACACCTGTGGTCCGGAGTTTTGCAAATATCTCAGCATCGTTGTAGGTGAACGTAGTTGTAGCATTCAGGAATATTCATTTATTTAAGAATTGGGCATTAGAAATAAACCCGTTCTAAAAGAACATCGTTATCGTGAGACTTAACAACAACCTTTCCACAAGCGTTGTCGACATTAGCCGGAATTTATTCTTCTCGGATAGTGCTTGATGTTATGAGAAAGTCGATCTTATTATTAATGTCAACAACGAGATCATAACGGTCGTTGAATTTCACGCTCCCGCTGCCCCTATTCAATTTTCTTACTGTTTGCTCGAGAGTCGTTTCAAGTAACTTTGGGATGATGGTATATTCATGTCGGACTCATGCCCTTTCACGATTGTTAACGTCGTTATTGAGTGGTTATATTTTGTCAAACTCTTAAGGAAATTGAGCTTGCAATAAATCTATGGAAAAGTATAGAAATGGCTGGGAACGTCACCAGCATTGACCAAATTTATTGCATACTAGTTTTGTAGAAATTCTAAAGGATAGGCAGTGAATTCCTCTTGAGGGATAAGGTGCAATTTGCACACCTGCTCTGGTGCCTGGTTATTTCTTTCTTACGAGAATGAAAGAGAATGGACAAGGAAAGTTCGCAGAAAGTGTTGGGATAAATATACTTGCTTAATAGAAAGAAATGCCAGGTTAATAACCCAGGGAGGTATTTCGTGTTTTGAGAAGTATTTTTTTCATCCGCTCTTGATTTTCAGTATGCTCTTTATTGCCAAAAGAAATGCTTGTAAAGGTGATGTTAAAAGCGAAGACCTTCCTTGTTCAGTCAACGTGACGATACGTGAACTTTGCTTCCATCTTGCCGACCCTGCTGAATAGGATCAGAGGCATACGATTGGAGCTGGAGACAATGGTCTTTTGAGTTCCTCTCATCGAGCAAAAACTTAAAGAGAAACATGGAAGTGCATTTTGCTAGTGGTGATGTCTGGTTGAAGACTCTCACCGGTAACCAGTCATTTTCTGATCTTTTTGAGCTTTGATCTCGACACCTCCTTTTGGACATCCAGGTTTATCGTAACCACGAGAAATTGAAACGACTTCTACCTCTATTTTCTTCCCTTCGGGAGCCTGAATCTATTTCTTTTTCATCTATAACGAAGATAGTGCTGATCAAGACAGTCCTACTGAGATCATGTAAGTGCAAAAATCGAAGTGATCCCTGGGTTCGAATCCGAAACCCAAACTATACTCTGCCACTTTCTTTACATTTGTCGCTACGAGATCTTCTCCACATCCTAGAGGCTGAAACAAATTCATTTTCAGTGTCGACTTTGTTTTCAATAGCATTGGTCGCTCTTACCCTTTGATCACACAAAGAGCCACCGTAACCGCTCGGACAAATACATGTGGAACAGTCTCGAGGGTGAGGGAATCCTTCGTTCACACATTTGGCCGATGTTGACTTGTTGCATTTAGCTAGACACTGAGTTTTTTAATTTGTTACTGAGTTGGAGTGCAAGGTTGTACCAAGCCAGACCGTTACAACCATAGTGTTCGTTGACGACGAAGATGTCAGAGAATGCAATCAGATCAGATCCCATGGCTTTCTGGTAATTCGCATCAGTTGCAATCATGGTCGGCTGTTGGTTGGTAGAGCCGCTGAAAAATAACTTAACGCACACAAGCGTGCCAAAAGAGCGTCAGATACTTTGTCTAAACCTTAGTTCATCATAGTGCATGACGCTGCCATAATCATACGTGAGTCCATAGAAATCGGAGTCGTTCTTGTAAACTTTTTTGAACTCGTCGATAGAACGTGGCTAAACTGTTGGTATGGATGTCCTTAAAGGGTCAGACGGCTAAAATTCATAACTACCCACGTCTACATTTTGGACGACGATTTTTATGTAGTTGTCGCGATCATGTCGTGACATTGTGTGGTAAAGTCCAAGAACATGGCCAATCTCGTGAATAGCTGACCCTTTCTGAAACATCTCAATTAGCGGCGGATATTGCAAGCTTAGTCGGCAGAATGTGAAAGGAACGGCTATTTTTATGGAATTGGTTTTTCTAAGTGCGTCGAACCGTGGAGTGGCTAGTGAGGGAAAGAAGCTGATCTCCACCGACTCGTCCAAGGCTCGACCAAGATCCGCGTCCTTTGACCACTACGACTTTGTCCTTGGCTGCAAATGTTTGGTGTAAAGAAGCGATCCACCTATTTGTTGTGTCCTCAACGAACCATTTTTGTCCTCTGCAAAGTCGATACATGTGAAATCATTCCATACCTTGACACCCATCTTAAACACTTTTTGTACATGGCGATCTGAATTTCTAGGTTGTAAGTATAAATTAGTTATAAAGCACCAATCAGTGGGAATTTGTAAAAATCCAATGAAATTGGCGACCCAAATGGTTTTGAAGAAGGCGGAGTCACAGAAAGAACTTCTATCATGAGATCAACGTCCCTTTCGGCAGAGTTCTATTAGTCGTTCAGCTTTCGCTTCTTCGTTTTTCTTGTCTAGCACTTGATTTTTTAGCATCCTTTTGACTCGAAAGACTGACTTTCTATAAACCTCGGCATAGATAGTTGATATATTTATTTATGTGATCTTATAAACTGATCTTCTTAAGCTGACGCGAGTTTGGTACAGATCTTCGTTGTCGTTGTCGTTGTTTTTGATGTTATTGATCGATGGCTGACGTTTCGGCGACTTCACCTTCCTCAGAGCCTGGACGTACTTTATGTTAGAATACTTTTTATTATTCGGTGGAAAAGAAGGTTGAAGTATCAATGAAAATCAAACTTTCAAATAGACGCCATATTGAACAGAAAGGCCACTCACCGTGATGTTACGTGCGGGACTGGCCCACACGTAGTTCACGTGGAGTCGCGAGCAAGACACGCCCGGGGTCAAAATATCATTTTGAAATGGGGCGCCAGGCCACGCGTGATAGTGAGGCATTCGTCCTTCCGGTTCATCTTTGGATTTTTGAAATTTATCCAAAACGCCTCAAGAGTTTTGCGCGTTGATGTTTTTGATTCCTGCGCTAGGATCCGCACATTCACTTCAAAATCATCGCCGTTGTGCTTTTGTGCCCTATGCTCCTCTTGTGCTCCTCTAACCCGAGTGGCTTCTACTTCGTAGCCATTGGAAANGAAGGTTGAAGTATCAATGAAAATCAAACTTTCAAATAGACGCCATATTGAACAGAAAGGCCACTCACCGTGATGTTACGTGCGGGACTGGCCCACACGTAGTTCACGTGGAGTCGCGAGCAAGACACGCCCGGGGTCAAAATATCATTTTGAAATGGGGCGCCAGGCCACGCGTGATAGTGAGGCATTCGTCCTTCCGGTTCATCTTTGGATTTTTGAAATTTATCCAAAACGCCTCAAGAGTTTTGCGCGTTGATGTTTTTGATTCCTGCGCTAGGATCCGCACATTCACTTCAAAATCATCGCCGTTGTGCTTTTGTGCCCTATGCTCCTCTTGTGCTCCTCTAACCCGAGTGGCTTCTACTTCGTAGCCATTGGAAATGGCAATTTTTCGTGCCAGGTTTCACGATTCCTTCCTTTCCTCTTCTCCTGTGCACACATTTTTAGCCGTACGGTACATGTTTTTGATAAGTGCTTTTTTCATGTGTGAAGGATGAGAGAAGAGGCAGTGAACTAGAATGTTTTTACTACTTGGCTTGCGATACCATTTTGTTACATGGCCACTTACTGAGAGCTTTATTTGGATGTTTAAGAATGGAAGCCAGTTCTCGGTAGGTTTTTCTCGTGTAAATTTTGTATACTCTGACTGTCGGTTTAATAATTTAAAGCACTCATCCACCTGTTCTTGTGTGGAACAGACGATGAAGCGGTCGTCTATGTTTCGACAGTAGAGTAACGGTCGGTGATCGAGAACTGGAGCTTCCGTCTTAGACACGAAAGCAATGGCAAGGCTTGGTGCTAAACGCTGCCCCATCGCCAACCCTCTAATTTGTGCAAAATATCTTCCAGACCACCTAAACATTGAACAACTAAGACACTGTTTTAAGAGGGTAATTAGTTGCGCAATCAACAAGTCGTGCATTTTTACTTTCTTTTCATGCTCTACGAGCAACTCGAGAATAGCTTGCATTGCGGAGTCATTGGACACGTTGGTATAAAGTGAACTAACATCGAATGACTCCATTATATGCGTGCTGCTTGGTTGTGCGCGCCGTAGGTGGTCTAGAAATATTTTGGTGTTAGGTAGATGGGTTGGAATGAATTTCAGCAGCTGGGTTAGGAAAAGGTTTGGGAACCACGTTATTCTATCCATTGGCCCGCCTATACGACTGATGATAGGTCTAACTTTATATGATGATGGGTTCGTTGACGTAATATCATCAGTTGAACTAAGCTTATGTGTTTTAATAAGCAAGTAAAGGACAGGGAAAATCGAGTGTTCGTTCTTAAGTCGAGAAATAACTGAAGGCTCTAAACCCGCGGCCTTTGCCGTGCTGACCCATTCTTGATTCAATTTTCGGTATTCCTTTCCAGAGAATGTTCGATGGAGGGAAACATCACTGAGGTACTCCTCTGTTATCCTAATATCCAACTGACTAGGAAGAACTACAAATTCTCCGCCTTTATCACTAATAGAAAGTCTAACAGACTTTGAATTCAAAAGCACTCCAACCTGGTGCATATACCACATTTTTGTTGGTTTTGTGTGGTCGGACCTTCTTTTTCGTTTTTGGTAGTGATTAAGTATACACGAGAAAAACCTACTGAGAACTGGCTTCCATTCTTAAACATCCAAATAAAGCTCTCAGTAAGTGGCCATGTAACAAAATGGTATCGCAAGCCAACTAGTAAAAACATTCTAGTTCACTGCCTCTTCTCTCATCCTTCACACATGAAAAAAGCACTTATCAAAAATATGTATCGTACGGCTAAAAAGGTGTGTACAGGAGAAGAGGAAAGGAAGGAATCGTGAAACCTGGCACGAAAAATTGCCATTTCCAATGGCTACGAAGTAGAAGCCACTCGGGTTAGAGGAGCACAAGAGGAGCATAGGGCACAAAAGCACAACGGCGATGATTTTGAAGTGAATGTGCGGATCCTAGCGCAGGAATCAAAAACATCAACGCGCAAAACTCTTGAGGCGTTTTGGATAAATTTCAAAAATCCAAAGATGAACCGGAAGGACGAATGCCTCACTATCACGCGTGGCCTGGCGCCCCATTTCAAAATGATATTTTGACCCCGGGCGTGTCTTGCTCGCGACTCCACGTGAACTACGTGTGGGCCAGTCCCGCACGTAACATCACGGTGAGTGGCCTTTCTGTTCAATATGGCGTCTATTTGAAAGTTTGATTTTCATTGATACTTCAACCTTCTTTTCCACCGAATAATAAAAAGTATTCTAACATAAAGTACGTCCAGGCTCTGAGGAAGGTGAAGTCGCCGAAACGTCAGCCATCGATCAATAACATCAAAAACAACGACAACGACAACGAAGATCTGTACCAAACTCGCGTCAGCTTAAGAAGATCAGTTTATAAGATCACATAAATAAATATAACATCCTTTTAGTTAGTCTCTCCAGTTGTTATTATTTTACTATCGCCATTATGATACCACAAGCAACCATCGGCATTCGCGAATACGACAAAACTTCTCAGCGCAGCTGAAGAAACTTGAAAATCCGAGCATTTTGTGATAGAAGAGAGGTAACGAGGGAATTGAGCGAAGTGGTCGTTTCCCACAACATTTAAAGACGGTTACTGTTAAACACGAGCATGGTGGAAGTTCGATACCGTTCCGGGCCAACCAAGCCTCTCATCCCTTCATTGCTCGACTAGCATTCTACGATATTCATAATGAAATGAAAATCGTCAGGCGGCAACCGAAGCCAAACGGAAAAGTTGGAGGATTTTCGTCGACACTGGATGCGAGGAGAAACGAATCGAATATGAGAAGTGCTGGGATCCGTACCGTAGACGTGAAGACGGGTCATGTAAAAAAATAAAAACGTGTATTGAACGAAGAAAATCACTCTAATTTTCGATATTCCTGTGATCATAAAAAGTCATTGCTGTTGTGATCCTAAGCTTTTAGCTATAATGACGTCCAAAACGCGTCGAAGTGTTTTATTGAATCCGTTAAAAAGAAGAATTACGGAAATGATGGCTTTAATACTCAGGTAAATGACAAAGTGTGAAGTCTACATTATTAATGACATGCTATTTTTCTCAAAACTGGCCTGTTGTATTGAACGTGTAGAAAACGCCGTCGTGCCATGTTCTGTTTAGTTGAGGGTTGTCTTTCAACACATGCCTTTTCACTCGAGATCTGCTTGCGAAGCTCCTGAACATTTGTTCAGCTTCTGTTCTGAACGCGACCTATTATAGCACACTTTGGAAGTGTGTGTGTTACACCTGAACCGTTTTCTATGTAATAAATTACTTATTAAGGACGATATCACTTTGATACAGCATTCGTGTATCTATTCGTTCAGAACTGACTTTGAACGTTGATTCGTTTCGCTCGTAATCCGTCAATTTTGGCGCGGTCTCCTGCAAAGTAAATAGGGTCATATTTTAGATTATAACAGTTGAGATATGAAAAATACGTAAATTTCGCTTTTAGACTTTGTTTGGTTTTCTTTTCCTCGCTCAATTGCTTTATAATTATTTCTGTTTTTACGAAAAAATCGTCTCAAAGTAAGAAAGCTCCGAAGTTACTTTCAGGCCAGTAGCATTTTTGTTTCGGAGGTGCACGTTCTCCAATGAACTTTCACCTTGAGCACCAACGGTTGGCCATTTATGCTGTCCAGTCCATGGTCTCGAACAAAGAATCCCTTTGTTTCAGTGCTGATATCGGCTACGCCGCATTGCGATGCTACGGTAGCTGCGGCTAGTAGTAGAATGGTTTCCATCCTTAAATACTCTGATTTTAACAAATTGGACGCAATGAAGAAGAATGGGGAAAAGTTTTTCGGTCTGGTCAGCTCTTTATAACTCCGCTGACAGATGTGTTGTATCTTATTTTTTCATTTAACAAGCCATTTAATAGTAACTGGAGTTTGTTATTACAGTTTTCAATATATTCAGCGATAACGTTCAAACGGCTCTTTAACACCAACTTTACGTCTCTGTCATTTTAACTATTGCTTGTCGTTATTCGAATAGAGTACTAGAACATTCTCATCCGATGGCTTGCCATAATCTTAGTTCAATGCTCTAGACAAGGTAAGGTTTTTAAAGAAGAATTTCTGCTTGAATTTCAAAGACCTGGCTTTTTATCCCAATTTCTTAGCGGTGCTAGAGGCTCAATTATTATCCTAAAATCGGTCTCATTATTTATCTTTAAACTAGCGAAATAACAAAGACTGAGCGAATATCTGCTGGTGGTGGTGAGGAAGCGCATGTCATTTCCAGCTTTCACTGCCTTTTACATGTCATCGAATTTCATAACGAATTTGCCCACCTGCCCTTCTTGCAAACAGTGTTTTACTGTAGAGTAGTCCTTCTTTATGACGACTCCACGCTGGTCTGTTGACGATCCAAGCAAGCAATTCCTTATTTTGCAGAAAATTCCTGCAATTTGGCACGGTTCAGAAAACCCGACGTCAAACATACAGAAGCACTATGAATTCACTTTAATACAGTCTTCATATTTTAATTAATGCACGGATCTCCCTCATATGAAGGATCTCGGGCCGGTTAGTCGCGTGGCTACGTGCCGTGTCCTAAGGTTGCGGAAAGGTGGTTTACCCGCGGAGCAAAAGCAAACTTTGTTTCTCGGAGACGCAGGTGGTTTCAGGCAATGGACTCTCTGCTCCTGTTGAGCCGATTTCGTAAATACTTTCTGCATTTACGAGGCGCATTCATGCTTGTGTGTGTGCGTGCGTTCTTGCTTATGCGGACTGTATTCCACGAATCAATTCGGCCAAAAACCTGCAATAAAGTGACAGGGAAGTATACGGGGGGCGGCCAGGAGTCGCCTCCAACAAATAATCTCCATGCCCACTCTGGGAGAGCGTGGCAAGCTACCCGTGAGTATATCCAACCCCCACGTTCATAGCCCAACAAACTATACGTGGGTATCAAAATGCTAAACATAGTAAAAGAAACGGGCTGGGTATTCTCATTTCCCTGACCCCGAAAGAGCCCCCAATTCGGCAGCGTTGGGTAGGACGACTACGGAGAGGCTGCTATAATCTCAGGGGCCATTCCAAAGTCTCTGAATCGCAAAGGACTAAGGTGGTGATCTGTAGCTACAATGCACGCACACGTGCATCTGACTGTTCGACAGAAGGTGTACTCATGCAGGCAAGATGGATAGGGTACGACGACATCGGACTAGCCGAGACGAGAGGACGCCACCTAATTCACGAAAAAGTTATAGTGGTAAACAAATCAATCTTGATAGCGATTTGATAACAGAGGCAGCTTACTGGGCGTTCAATGAACATGGAAGACTTCGCGACGGAGAAATTAAAGAGAAGCAAATGAAAGCATTGGCCGCATTCAGGTGTTCCAAAGTAATCATCGAGAAGCTGATGGACACGGACCTTGAAATGCGCGCTCTACTTTCCTGCTCAACAATCCTCCTAGCACTATGTTATTTAACAAAAACGTGAACTAGCACAATCTGCTTCAATAATTCCGTACACCACTCAGAAAGCGCTTGGACGATGTCTTCTGAGATGGAACCGGCGCACACAATTTCTATCCGGAATGCATGGCTCAAATCTTCGAAATTTATCCCATTCGCCAGTACTTCTTGAGAAAACGACGATGTCGTCGGCAAAATGAAGGTTTGATTAGGAATTTTCCATTAATACGTATACCTTTTTCATCCCAATCAAGTTAAACCTTTTATTTACTGCCTTTTTCTTTTTAATGGCAGGGTATGTTGCGAAATATAAGAACTAGCTGAGAGACAGGCAAAACGAAGGACCCGGATGGTATGGTGGTGAAGTGCGCTACTCCCCGGAAAGGATAACAGCGCGCGTTCGTTGCCCACCGCATACACCTGTGGTTCGGAGTTTTGAAAATATCTCAGCATTATATACTGATAAAGTTACTTCATTATCAGTTGTAGTGCAGCACTGAACAGCGTTGGCGGTACTGTGTCGCCATGTCGAACTCCTTTCCTTAAGGGTATGGTAAGAGGTCGATGGAAAAACCGTAGCTTCGTAGTGCAGTTCCGATAACAGTCGGACAGAGTTTTTATACAGGTGGTCGACGAGCGCTGATAGGATTGCATTCGTTTTGACAATGTCAAACGCTTTTTCATAGTCGACAAAGATTAGGACTAGAGGCAAGCGGTATTCCCGACAAACTTCGATGACCCTGGACACGGTTTGGATGTGGTCCATGCAGCAAAACCCTTTTCGAAATCCTGCTTGCTCAACTGGTTGCGCCTCATCCAATGTCCTTGATATGCGCGAGAGGATACTCTTCGTGAAGAGCTTGTAGAGCACACTCAACAAGCATATGGGATGATAGTTACGAAGATCCCTTCGGTCTCCTTTCTTGGGCAGGATGACTGTGCGCCACGTCCTCCACTGATCTGAAACTTTTCCTCTTGAAGGTAGGGTGTTATATGATTTGCGAGAAGTACATGTAAATTGTGGCTTCCAGCTCTGAGTAGGTTAGCTGTAACATTATCGGATTCTGGAGCTATGCCTCTTTTAATGCTTTTTACCACAACTCGAACTTCCGTTGGAGAAAATCCAATTGGTTTTTCTCCAGTGGAGATATTAGGGTCCTGGATGGGGACTGTGGAACGGGAAAGGTTGGTGTAGAATGTTTCCGCTATTAATTCCATATCATGGCGAGAAGTTTTGACGATCCCATCTTCAGTGATGCTGAGATATTTGCAAAAGTCTGGACCGCAGGTGTCTGCAGTGGGGATCGAACCCGATATTACCCTTTCTAGTGTCTAACGCGTTCACCACCATAGCATTCGGGTCCTTCGTTTCGCCTTTTCCTCAGCTATCCAGTGAAATATTAAAGCTGTGTGGTTTCGATTATTTTTAGAGTTGCAAAACGTCTGCTATTTTTCCATTATTTCATGACGTTCAAATAAAGGACTAGGATACTCGTCCGTTGTTGCAAATTTTCTTTCACTGCTAGGCATTCCTAGGTTATTTAGATCAAAATTTCATTGTCTACAAAAGATTTCTGTTTGAAAAGTGGGCGACATACTAAAGACATAATATATATCTGGGATTGGAATGGTGATGATGCATTAGTATTAAAGGAATTTCTAGTTTCTCTTCACACGTCATTGGATTTCATGACCAGTTTGAGCACCTGCACTGAAAACAATGTTTGTTGGGGAAAAGTCCTTCTGTGTAACGACTTCGCGCATATTTGCTGACGATCCGATAAAATACTTCCATACTTTGCAGAGAACTCTTGCAATGCCGCGTTACACAGCACTTCCGAGGCCAAACCGAGACAGTTTTGAATTTTTTCTTCAGGCGGTATTCTTCAACGGGTTAAAAGGTCCCACAGCTTCACACCTTACCACATTGACGATCAAGTCTACTAAAATGTGTACACACAGGTTTATTGGTTAAAGTGATTTTTTACCGGAATTTTTTATTCTTGCAGTTCCTTGTCCAAACAGCTCAGATGTCAGGCGTGGCTCGTGACAATGTGTTCGCTACAGCTAAATATTCACAAAGAACGTCTTTGGCATGACCTACGGCAGGAGAAATAGAAGATGTTGCGGGTTGTACATACTACGAATAGTGTCTTCAGTGCAGATACAAAGGGCTCGACTTGAGCACTATAGTTCGGCACCTAAGGAGAGCTTTTCGCTTGGATAAGTTGATGAACTATTGGCAAGACTTTTTCAGGGTTATCCGACGTACACATGTGCCCTCAGCGTATTTCAATACAGTTATTCTTTCGAAGAAGACATTAAATCAGCTTTTTATCTTACATTTATTTTATGCACGCAATTTAAATTTGTATATGCAACTAATACATTCATATATAAATATGTGCAAAACAATAACAGGAACAAAAATAACATCGTGCAGTTGCAATTTGAATATTCGAAGCGGACCACCATCAAAGGGGATTATACCCGCGCAATATCTGAAGGCGGCGGGCCATCCTAGTATCCCGGTAAGTAAGATCTTCTCATTCTACGACGTCTGTTGAAACATTCGGAGTCGATTACCCACAACGCCTATAACTAGTGCTAGAGACCTTTTTCGCAACGTACTGCAGTCTAATTCCGATCGCGTTACTCTATAATAGCCTTCTAACAATCTACGGTTTTTTGCCATTATTTTTCCAATTCATTCGAAGTTATTCGTGCTGCAATAGATTTCTTTGCTCTTATCCATATTGCATGACTCCGTCGCCAACTTTTACAAGCTCTATTTTCGTTTCAACTTTCCACTTGCTAGTTCTATTCAGTTAATAACTTCCTAATCAGTGGGGTTCTTTGCATTCTAGAAAAAAAGACTTCTGGAAACCAGACAGTATATCAGGCCTCTGAAAGCAACACTCATTCGTAAAAGGTCAAAAGGATGAAGCTTTCTGCGTTGATCAAGCCCTGAGGGATGAACCATGCACTCGACTTCATTAAGAATCGTGTGGAGGTAATTGAATGGAGCCAGTGCTGCTATCCTTTCCGACAAGTCTGATACCAATTTGCCGACACCCGAGGAATGGAAAACCTGATGAATCTAGGATTCGTGACCAAGCCCACGACCCATGTTTGTATTGCAGGACACCACTGTCTACTGCGCTACACGTGTCTCATTGCGTTATTTGGACATAAAGTGGATTTATTATATTAGTAAGCAGCGACTATCACTGAGTTCTTCACATTGAGCTATAGTTTTCCTCTACGAGTTTGGCCTCTGCCGCCAGCGAGCCGAAAAATTACTACAGCGCATATGTGTAACGTCAGCTCTTTCTCCAGTTCACAACGCAGGTGACTGCTTGGAATAATTATACGGGAATGCCTTAGTACTACTGCCACAATATTCCAGGAAACCTGTGAAAATCGTCTTCCTTGTAGTTTCCTCAAAGTCAGAACAGAGCAGAACATGATTGTTTTTTTAAGATCATTTTTACAATCCCTGCTTTTAAATTGTTCCCATATAAAGTTAACGTTTTCATTTGCTGTCTACTACAATTTTCACGGCAGGGTATTATGTGAAATCAACCACAACGATGTTGAGATGTTTGGAACACTCCGGACGGCAGGTATCTGCGGTGGTGATCGAAAAGGCTATTACCATTTCTGGTGGTATCGCGTTCACCGTGCGAGTCCTCCGTTTCGCCTATCTTTCAGCTAGTTTTCTATCTACCAGTGCCATCAGCAGTCATCCGTCAACGGGATTGATCTGTGGAGCCCAAATCGGTATTGAATCCACTTAACCCACCGCGGACACCTGCTGTGCGGAGTTTTGCAAATATCTCAGCATCATTGTGGCTGTTTCTGCACAGATCTATTTTTTGTATTCTTTATTTCAATGTAAAGTTCGGATTGATGCGCTTTAAGAATTCGCTGCAGACTTTAGCCAAGGCAAGCTGATTCAGAAATATTGAAACGAGAATATTCAGGAGTCTAATATTTATGAAATATACGGCCTTGACGAGAAACAGAGCTATAGCTGGTTTTTCCTGCTTCTACACTATGATCCTATAATGTCCATCAACATTCATTAAACAACATCAAAAGAAAACCGTGTAGTCGACCATTCTAATGCTGTGACTTATTCCCGCCCCATGGATAAAAGGACAGAAGGACTTAAAGGAAGAACAATATCGAATTCCATCTTCGATTACGTTGAAACATCCACTAAATGCTCTTGAGTATCTTACGATAGAACGTTCTGTTTGGGAATTATAGTTACAACACTTTATTTCATTAGAAAAGTGTAAGTGCTTTAAAACACAACTCTTAACGGCAGAATAGGTCACTAAGATTTTATATTCATGATGAATCCTAGGAAACTCTACTTCACATTCTGCAAGATATGTTCGTGGAGTTCGGGGCTGTTTTCACCGTCAATTTTTTAAAAACTGGTCTTCAATAGGTCTGAATTCCTGGCGAACATACTTTCTTTCACGTGGTGGTCTTTAAGTAATGAAGGTCTCTGGCGATGCTTAAAATTTTGCTTCACAAAGAAATAAAGTGATTTGAGCCGATATTTCGAGACATCTCTGCACATTTTTGTTGTAAATAAAACAATTTAGTATGCAAAAATTTTTTTTAGGAGAAAGGATTGTCTTTGCTTAATAAATGTAACGATAAGTAAATTGTGTCCACATCGTGCCTTCCCTGTTAAAAAGAATCACGGGCAGGCGGTTAGAACTGGAGACGATAGGACCTCTGCTGCCCAGCTGCGAGCAGAAACTGAAAGAGTGTAGTGCGAACCTCCGCAAGAATTCAGCAATACTCGTGTTTATTCTTACCGGTAACCCGTCAGCTTCTGATCCTTTTGAGCTTTGATCTCAATTCCTCCACTTACACACCCAGGTTTGTCATAGCCACGAGAGATCGAAAGGACTTCTACCTCAATTTTCCTTCCTTCACGCACCTGAACCGATTTATTTCTCAAGTTTGACGAACCCGCTGATTCAGACGATCATACCGAGATCATATAGTTGCAGAAATGGAACTGATCTCTGAGGTCGGATCCGTAACCAAGACTGCAGTTCACCATTTGTTTCCTTCTTGTCGCGACAAGGTCTCGTCCACATCCCGGTGGCTGTAATACATTCATTTTTCGCGTCTAACACATGTCCATCTGAAATATTGGTCCTTACCCGCCGATCACATAAACGGCCACCATAGCCACTCGGACAAATACACGTGGAACAATTTCGAGGGTGAGGAAATCCTTCGTTCATGCATTTGGCGGATGTGGATTGGTTGCATTTAACTAAAGGATTAGAATTTTCAACGTGCTGAAGGAGGGAAAATTGACAGTTCTGGCGCAGTTTTAGTGATCTCGTTCATTATGTGGACGGCTAAACCCACGAAATCGTTGTCCCAACTCTGGGCTAACCAAGCCTGTCATCCGTCTCCAGGCGGGAAATATGCATAAAAGTAGTCTGGGACAAGCTCGCTTCCTCTAATCCTGTGAAAACGCCGAAACACGGCGATCTAAGCACTTCAGGAAGATAGAGAGAATCACTCCCGACCAGCAGCAGTTAACGACGATTGTGAGGAAGACGAAAAACCCCCTAAGCAACTAACAAAGTCATGCGCAAAAAAGTTTAAGGATTCGGCGGATGATGGAAGAAAACGGAAACGAGTCGAACGCTAGAAATGCTTTTGATCCACCGGCTGTAATAGATGTGATTTCAGGTCAGGTAATAAAAAATAAAAAAATATTCAGTTATAACGCGTTGTTCAAAGTCAGACCGTTACATCCGTAGTGCTCATTGATCATAAAGATGTCAGAGAACGAAATCAAATCAGATCCCATCGTCTTTTGATAATACGGATCCAATGCTATCATGGTGGGTTGTTGGTTAATAGTCGCGCTGAAAAATAACGCAATGCTAGGAATGGTGACAAAAGAGGGTCAAGTAGTTTTCCCAAACCTTAGTTCATTGTAGTGCATGATACTGCCGTAATCGTATGTTAGACCGTAGACATCACTGTAGTTCACACTTGTTTTATCAAAATCGTCGACAGCATCTGGCTAAACCAATATTATGGGTCTTCGTAAGGACCTCAGTGGTTAATGTTCGCATATACCCACGTCAACATTTTCCATGACGATTCTGATGTAGTTATCTCTATCATATCGACACATTGTGTGGAAGAATCCAAGAACATGGCCAATCTCATGTACGGCCGAACCCTCCTAAAACATCCGTTTTAGTTAGTTACAGAAAATGCATGCCTAATTGAAAAACAATAACAGGACGTGTATTTTTTAGTTGCTAATATGAGTACGTCTGCACCGTCGCATTCCAAGTAAGGGAGAGAAACTGCTCGCCGCCGAGTCGTCCAAGATTCGACCAGCAGATCTCTTCCTTAATTACGACCACCTTGTCCACAGCTGCAATTAGTTCTTTCGAGGTGGCCATCTATCTATTTGCTCTGTTCACAACCAACCGTTCTTGTCCTCTACGAAGTCGATGCATGTATAGTCCCTCCACACCTTTACGCCCATTTCAAAGGCTTTTTGTACGTTTTGGTCTAAAGCTTTAACATTTAGATCAGAAGCATAAATAAAGGGTGAAGTATAATGCTGTCGGCGTTGATCAATCCCTAACGGATGCGCCATGCCTTCGACTTCACTATGCACCATTCGGAGGTGATTGAATGTATATTTGGCCTTTAGAATGACTCGCGGTGGCTCACCGATGTATCAACTCAGTACTGCTATCCTCCCAGGTAAGTCTCGTAGCGATTTACCGTCTCCGGAGGTATAGGGGACTTGGTGGGCCTGGGCACAGGATCGATTCCACGTGTGCTTCGCAGTGGTGCCTCCAAACACTGCGTTACACACACCATTGATCAGAAGCATAGGTTATCATACACAACAGATTAATGAGCAAGAACTCAAGGAATAAGAAAAAGTCGAACGCTACCAAAACAGCAGGAGAACAAAACAAGCTTTGATGAATAATTTCATAGTTTTATTAGTCTTCTAACTTTTGTTCTCTTATATCTTATTTCACCTTATGCATTGGTTTTTTAGTGATTCCCCAGTTAGTATCTCTTATCACTGTCTTTCCCATCCTTCTTGTTATAATACCACTAACATTCAACAAACCTCCCAACGGTCTACCGCCTCATCGTGGCTGGGAGGTGTTCCTGGGTGTTGGACTGCGATGTCCAGCGAGTGGATTCGTCACCCCGGCAGGGTCTCCTATGCTAAGAAGGAGTCCGGCGTTTCCATCAGGAAGCCCAGCTGAGAGTAAACCAATATCAGGATCCACCACCGTGCTGGTATCAACGTCACATGGTGGCAAATCTTCCTCTGATCCACAAGGGCAGTGACTGCTTGTAGTGACAACTTTGGCCAGGTTTTTCTCAGGATTCCAGGAAACCACAATGGCTTAGCCAGCAAATTTCCGAAAAATGGTGATTATGCTGAGGCCCGCACTACTAGTGGGGGTGGGTCGTTCAAGTATCAAGTATCAAGTAACATTCAACAATCCACCATTGTTGTTACCACTGAAATTATTAGTACTCCATCATTTTTCATGAAGAGGTGGAAACGAATAGGAGAAGCATCATTCTGGGAACGGACACAAGACAACGAGACAATTCATAGTGAATTTAGAGAAGTTTCTTATGGAAGAAAAAACAAGATAATCTCGTTGGTTATTGTGATTACCAAAATTCCTTGTTAAGTTCGCTGTAGACCTTAGAGCACCAATGCTGTCAAAGAGATTTGTAAATAAAATGTGTATGAAATTGTGTGCTGCTCATCAAGGTCGAGACGAGCAATTCCTTATGAAACTCACCTGAGGTATTGAAAGTATAGAAAACGCCGTTTTGCCACGTAGCGTTCGGATATTCATCATCTTTCAACACTTGACGTTTTGCACGAGGGGTGCTTAGCAGAACCTTAACAGAATTAGCCTTCTGTTTCTTTAAGAGTTCTTCTTCGAAATCGAATTTTCTAGACTTGGCTTGTAATTATTCTCTTTTGCCGAAATCACTTGCTAGTTGAGTAGAGTTGGTCTTGAAATTATGGCAAATAGAATTTTAAAAATAATGTGAGTGCGATACTTTCGTTTTCTTTACGTTCTTATTGACCAAACACGAGGAGTTTTTTATTCCTTATTGCGACGAAACTGAGGTTTCGGTCAATTTTGACTTCCTTAGAGCTTGCAAAGGTCAACTTGACCACAATCTATACAGAAAACATATCCATAACCAAACAAAGAAAATGCTAAACCAAGATTTCAGTCACAGTGAGTACAGAAGATCTTCTTCGCACACAAAACACCGCTTTCTATGAGTCTTCCACTAAATGTTTCATGTGGAGAGCAGCTGCACAGAGTTCACATGGAAGTGTGTAGTGCCTCTCACATTAAGATAACAGTTTTAGATACCACAATGATGTTGAGATATTTTCAAAACTCTGTACAGTACAAGTGTTTGCGGTGTGGATCGAACACATTATTACTCTTTCGGTGCTAACGTCTTCACCACTACACCTTGTTCGTCCTTCGTTTTACCTTTCTCTCAGTAGTTTTCTACTTACCATTTCCATCAGCAATCACGCATGAATGGGATTGACCTGGTGAGCACTAGTGGATATTGAACCTAAGTAAACTGAGAATGTAATGTAGATCATAATATAATGAGTTTTATTTATTTCACATTATATGTTACCAAGAAAAAAGTATGAGCAGTAAATAAAAAAATGACTACGTTGTGATTTAAACTACATCCTCAGCTGAACTGAGTTCAATGTCGATTTGGGCCACCAGAACAATTCCGTTAGCAACTCATTGCTGATGGTAATGCTAGATAACAACTAGGTAAGAGAAAGGCGAAACGAAAGATTCGCATGGTGTGGCGTTGAACGTGCTTTCCAGAGAAGGGTAATGGCGTGTTCGATTCCCACCGTAGACACTACTGTCCGGAGTTTTGCAGATATCTCAGCATTATCGTGGTTGAATCTCACATTATACCCTGCCATAAAAAAAGAATAGGCGATAAGCAAAAAATGATTACACAGTTTTAAATTCTGTCAGATATTATACCTGATTACGAGGCTTTCATTCCTGCGGCTCAATTTCGGATTCTTGTTATGTATTCAGAGTGCTTCAAGAGTTTTGAACTCTTGCATTTCCGATTCCTTTGCAAGGATATTAACTTCTACTACCCAACCTCTTCCGTTATGCTTCTGTCTCTTATGCCTCGTGGAGAAGTTGGTTTAACATTAAGCTTACCGACTAGATGTTTTTTTTATACGGACGCAGAATGGTCTACCCGTTTCGCTAATGTATCGTTCCCCGCACGCTTTGCGAGAGATCAGATAGACTGTACCAAAACTCATGCAATCACCATCTGTACTGTTAAGGCAAATTATGAAATTTTGCATTGTACAAAGACGGTAATACAGGCGGTTGCGAACCAGATCGCGTCTTGGAGTGCTCGGCGGTATTTCAATTACTGTAATCGAATTCTCCAGATTGGCCTTCCTTAAGGAACGTTTTATAGCTGCAATTACTTCATTTGAAATGAAGATCAGGATAAATAAGACCTTATTATCGCTAGAGTTGTCGTTTTGGGGCTACGGTTTTCCTCTACACCTACCCCGGGCAGCTACGGTTTCGCACCCGTTAGAAGTGGCTATTTGGCGCTCCAATTTTCGGGATTCCTCCTTCCGCTCTCTTTCTATACGCAGACTGGTGCTTGTTTGAAAAATGTTCCATTTAAACGACCTTTTTGTGTGTGGTGGGTGACAGGTGAGATAATGGGTATGTTTTTAGTATTCGGCGTTTAGTACCAGTTCCTAATGCAGCAACTTTCGGATAGGTTAATTTACATGTTTGAAATGGAAGCCTGATTTCTTTCGGTTTCACTCGGGCTAGTTTAAATTACTCTAAGTGTCCGTCCAATAACTCAAAACATTTGTCCATTTATCCTCGTTTTGAGCAAATCACAAAGCAGTTGTCTATATAACTGCAGTAGAATAATGGCCGGAGATCGATTACCTCCACCTTAGACGCAAATGCATATTTTCAAGGCTTGGTGCTAGCTGGAATCCTATTGCCAATCTTCTCATTTGCGCAAAATTCTTCCTGCACCATCGATTGATTGAGCAATTTAGGCACTCTTATAGGAGTGCCATGTACTGTTGTATCGTCAAGCCACAGAAATTTATTGTTCCTACGTGTTGTATAAGGAGTTCAAAGATGGCTCGCAAAGCGGAGTCACTCGATAAGTTTGTGTAAAGAGCGGTAACATCGAAAGGCTCCACCACGTACGTGCTGTTTGGACGTGCATTACGTTGACTATACTGAAACATTCGGGTTTTCTTAAAATGGGATAGAATGTGCTTTAGAAATTGGGAAAGTACTAGGGTTAAAAACCACGTTATTCCTACGTTTGCCGCAGAGACATAACGTGGAGGATTTTGAAATAGAAGTCAACATACTTGCATAGCAATCGGAAGCACTAGCGCGCAAAGCTCTTGAAACATTCTATTTATACTATAATGCTAAGATATTTCCAAATCTCCGGACCGCAGGTTTGTCCGGTGGGGAACGAACGCGCTATTGACATTTCTATTACCGCTATTGTAAATAAAAAGGTTAAGATTGTTATTATAATTACAGCCTCAGCTTAGTCGGGTTTAATGCCGATTTGGGCTCCTCAGATCAATCCCGTTGACTGGTGATTGCTGATGGCAAAAGATCGGTAGAACCAGTAAGAGACAGACGAAACGAAGTACCCGCATGGTGTGGTGGTGAACGCGTTACTCCCCGGAGAGGACAATTGCGCGTTCGTACCCCACTGCAGACACCTGCGGTCCGGAGTTCTCCAAATATCTCAGCATTATAGTAGTTATATTTCGCAACATACCCTTCCGTTGCAAAGAATAGGCACTAAATAAAAAGGCTAAGATCCTGGATATATTCCAAGAATCCGAAAATGAGCTGCAGGAGGAATACTTCATAATCATGTGTGATATCGGATGGCATTTGAGAATGTTATTCTAATGCAGAGGCACAATACACTTCCATGTGAATTCTGTGTGGTTGGCTTCCACGTGACATACTCATAGAAAGCGGTGAATGTGCAAAAGAGGTGTTATGCTTTCAGTGTGATTGAAATCTTGGTTTAGCATTTTATCTGTTTGGTTATGAATGTGTTTGGCTGACTATACTCTCGTCAATTCGACCTTTTCAGGTACAGAGATAGGTGAAAACCGCCGAAACATCAGCTTCTTTGTAATAAATAGTAAAATAACACCTCATGTTTGGTCAACAAGAATATAAACATTTGCTTGATCGATGCCGAGGTTAATAGAAAGTCGGCAGTGCGAATAACTTTAACTTTCTACTGATTTCGTTTTGGTCCACCTTAGGCGACCTCAATTTTTCCAAAAATTTTTTCTTTGTTACAGAATTATTGTATTAAATTAGGAAAACTTCGAAAGGACTATCTCTCTAGAAGTGTAGTATTTCGGTACAAACTCCCAATTGAATTGTCACCTCATGCTTCGACTTCTCAGCATCTTGGCGAACGCTTAACGTCTTCGCTTCGGTGATGACATCAGCTTTGTCACTTTCCAGATTTGTGATAGCGATAGCGAGTACAAGAGTGACCATCATTCCTAAATGTTCTGATTTCAATAACTCCCATAGTGGGAAGAGTTAAGACGAACAATTGCCAGTGTTACAATAGTACCATGACTAATCCAATAAATTACTTTTCCATTTGCTATGTGAGTAAATAATGACTAATTCTTTTCACAGTTTCCATGAATATCCACCAAAACGCTTTACCGATATGGTTGTGTTCGCCACTAGAATTACAAGACATTACTATTTTCTCTGGCTTTCAAACGGAAATCATGCAGCGATTTCACTTCTACTCCTGGTTATTTCTCAACGTTCTAATGGTGTTCTCGAACGTTCGAATGCTCCAAATAGTTCAGGTACACTTCAGACAATCTCCGAGATAAATTTCAAAGATTTCTCTTTTTTTGCCACGAAAACTGACTAGTACCAAGCATTTTTAGGAAACCGTAAGTTTTGGTTTTTGGTCTAAAAATTTCAAATCGTAGTTCAATTTCTTTTCAATCTAACAAGGTAACAACGACGAAGCAAATACCTGCAGTTCTGTGGGGATAGGAAATGCATAATATTTTCGGCACTGAGGGCCTTTTATGTTCAATTCAGTAGAATGACCTATTTGAGCAGCTGTTTTCGAAGCAATGTTTTAACAGCAAAAAGCTCTCCGCTAAAGACAAAACAAACAAAAGGCTCAAAATTCCTACAGCGTGACGCATTTCGGTGCGTCAGTCGTCATATATAGAGAAGCAGAGTTGATTTTCTGCATTGTTCGTAATATATTTCTGATTTGATTTAACAGAACCCGTCGTCACATCTGCTGTGCGGACGCCAGCATTCGATTCGATTCCTCGCATCCAGCATGCACAATGATTTCCTACCATATCTTGAGTTGTTTGAGCGTCTGCTTGGGGATTTCGCCTTCTTTATGAGTGCCGTAGAATTCTGGTCAAGCCAGTTCTTCTTGCAGTTTCCAGGATCAACTTTCTATTAACCTCGGCATTGAAATATGAATGCATCGCTTTCTTGTTCAGCAATCGCAAGGTTTTTAAACAACGTACATTTACTTCTATAGAGAAGCACAATACAATACAACAGTTGCTGACGTTTCGGCAGTATCGCCTTCTTCAGAGCCAGGAAGGGTATACTGATATACAATCTACTAGGCCAAACGCTTCAATAACACTTACAAAAAGACGAAAAACTCTTTGGTAATTACACGATCAACAACTTCTCGAAAAGTAGGCCAAACGCTTCAATAACACTTACAAAAAGACGAAAAACTCTTTGGTAATTACATGATCAACAACTTCTCGAAAAACCCACCGCTTTTTCGTGACTTCCAATGAGGAAGTTTACAACAGCTGATTATAGTCGCATGTGGTTGACGACTGCACCATCCCCCATCAGGAATTGATGCGAACATACGGGGTCAGGTCGCATATGACCTCTGGGCATTCCGCCTTGCTATTCATTGTAAGGTTTTTGGCATTTATCCAAAAAGCCTCAAAAAGTTTTCGCGCTATTTTTTAGTCTCCTGTGCAAGGATATTGACTTTTACTTCAAAATCGTCTATGCTATGCTTTTGTATCCTATGCGTGCCTAGTGGGGTGCTTCGTCTTAGTTTTCGTTTGCCATCTAGGTGTTCTTTTATACGGATACACATAAGTCTGCCCGTTTCGCCAATATATTCATCTCCGCAATTGTTACACGTGATCAGGTATATCTTACCTGAACTCATGCAACCACCGTCCCTGCCGTAAGGGCAAATTAAGCAATTTGTTGTTTCACACAGACGGTCATACAGGCGGTTGCGAACTAATTGGCGACGTAGAGTAGCCGGTGGTATTTCAACTATCGCTACCGATTCCTCTAGACCTGCCCTTTTTAAGCATCGTTTTATAACTACGCTTACTTCATCGCTTATAAAAGGCAACATAAACGGGATTTTGTTTTGGCCAAGTGCTTCGCGTGGGCGCGTCGTTCTCCTTCTAAACTTATCTCGTGGAGTTACTATTTCGTAGCCATTGGAGATGGCTATTTGCCGAGCCATGTCGCGCGATTCTTCCTTTAGTTCCCTGGTAGTGCACACAGAGGTGGCTGTTCGAAACATGTTTCTCACAATCGCTCCCTTTGTGTGTGAAGGGTGATGGGCAGGGACGGTGATTGCATAAGTTCAGGTACGATTTACCTTATCTCTTGTAATAATTGCGGATATGAATATATTGGCGAAACGGCAGACCTTTGTGTATCCGTATAAAAGAACACCTAGATGGCAAACGAAAACTAAGACAAAGTACCCCACTAGGCACGCATAGGATACAAAAGTATAGCGGAGATGACTTCGAAGTAAAAGTCAATATCCTTGCACAGGAGACTAAAACACCAGCGCGAAAAGTTTTTGAGGCTTTTTGGATAAATGCCAAAAACCCTGCAATGAATAGCAGGTATGAATGTCCAGAGGTCATGCGCAACCTGACCGGGTATGTTCGCATCAATTTTTGATGTGGGATGGTGCAGTCATCAACCATATGCGACTATAATCAGCTGTTCTAATCTTCCTCATTGGAAGTCACGAAGAAGCGGTGGGTTTTTCGAGAAGCTGCTGATAATGTAATTACCAAAGGGTTTTTCGTCTTTTTGTAAGTGTTATTGAAGCGTTTGGTCTAGTAGATTTTATATCAGTATACCCTTCCAGGCTCTGAAGAAGGCGATACTGCTGAGACGTCAGCTAGTGTTGTATTGTATTCTGTTTCGCTATGGAAGTAAATGTATGCTGTTTAAAAACCTCGCGATTACTGAGCAAGAAAACGACGCATTCTCCTTGCAATCCTGGAGATAGCCAGGATAAGGCGTTCCATCGTGGGTTGGAGGAAAGCGTTGCAACGGAAATCGAACTATAGCCTTTACATCCTGATCGATGGCATCGGAAACCACTGCGCTACCCCGCCCGTCCATAATATAGAATGGAAGAAATGCGCGACGGAGATGATTTAGAAGTAGAAGCCACCATCCACTGAGGTGAATTCAACACATCAACACGCATAATTTTCGAGGTATCCTGGATAAATTCCAAAAATCCAGAAATGATTTACAAAGAGGAGTGCCTTTGTGATCACGAAAGGCCGCGCACAATATTAAGGCTCATATTTTGACATAAGCGAGTGTCATTAACTGTACATGTGAGCTCTTTGCTTCTAGTTTCCATCAGCACGGCGAAAACTCATAAAAAGGACATATGAAGAAAATGTCCCCAATGCGTTTCGAGTTAATATGTCTGCTTTTTTCTGTTGACTTTGTGGAAGTACTTCGCTGACTACATAGCAATCAACTTAACTTTTAGGTCTGTGGAAAAAGGAAATCCGCCGAAACGTCGGCCATGGTGAATAGATAGTATAGCAACAACCTTAATGTCTGCTCATTAAGAAAACGGTAAATTACTGTCTCGTACAAGTTTTTAATGAGAAGAGATTTTCCGGTAGATGTGGGCGGTTTTTTTTTCTTATTTGTGAAAATAGATCCTTTTCGGTGATGCTCTGCTCTTTTTTGACGCTCAGTGGTCGTAATACTGGATCACGATCTACGGATGGATCGCCGTGTTTGTATCCTAGTAGATTGCTCTACTCTGTAGAAGTTGAAATAATGGCTTCATGAAGTAGCCTGACTGATGTTTTTATGCACTCGTAATGTTAGTGTCCAGTTGGTGTGAATGGAACTACGGTGACGACGAAATCCCTTATTTGGAATTATTTTTCATAACGAGAAAGATTTAGAAAAATTAATCTGGAGTCTAAGAAAAGCAGAAAACTGAGGTTCCGACGTTGATGAAGCATTTTATCAGTGTATGGTGTTGATTGAAGGCGCGTGTGATGCAGTGGTCGGAGGCGCCCTACAACACACACGTGGAATCGATTTCCGCGCCCATGGCCTACCAAGCCTTCCATCCTTCCGGCGTCAGTAAATTGCTACCAGAGTTGTTTGGGAGAAAAACAGCACTGGCTCGATACTTCGGTAGGCCACCGCGAGTCATTGTAAAGGCCAGATAAGCATTCAGTCACTCCAAGCGAAGTTTAGTGAAGTCGAATGCATGGCACATCCTCTCAAGGATTGATCAACGCCAAGAGCTTTATCCTTTATTTATTATAACGCTGATTTGTCTTTTCTTAATGAATGAGTGCCGAACAGACGAGCGGTGTGCTCTGCAGGGATGATATGCTGAAGCCAGCCTGTAGAAGTAAATGCCCACGCGTTCGCGGTTTGAAATAGAAGCATAAAATAGAAAAAGCGAGTTTTCAACAAATCTGTGTGTTCCTTCCTTTGGTGAGAAAATTTAGTGGTTACTCTATTACATGCGTGATCTGAATTGAACAAGTGTGTTTTGACGATTTTAATTTCTTAACTAATAAAAATTTTATATTACATAATAATCCAACGCTCTCTAAGCAGACACTCCGTGAAGGAATTCCATATCTCCTGGTGAAAAGTGCCGGTATCTTCTTGCACACCCTCCTCCGGCAAAGCAGGTCCTTGCTGCGTTGTAGATGTTTAATTGTGATTATGCCTGACATAATGTGATTGATCCATAATCTCGGAGGCTGAAAAACCTATTGCAAAGTTTCTTCTTGATAGCACACGAACAGCTGCCACTTAAATGGTTTTAAAAGTTCATCACAAATGTTTCAGAAATATTTTGAAACCAAGGCCATTGTATATGGATGTGTCGAGTGAATGATGCTGAGGCATACTGTTCACATACTCGTTCTTGGATAGCTGGTAGACTAGTCGTGGATTTGCTGTTGTTATGTGAATCCTTGTTGCTTTGGAGGAACCAGTGTTGCAATACATCAAAAATCACTGCCAATTATAAAGTATAGTGAAAATCCATATTTTACCAGGGCCTGATATTTTGGTGAGATAATAGGCCAACGTATCCCCCAAATACTATAACCACCACTTAAACGGATTTTATAAGGTAGAAGGATTGTTTTTAAATTTTCAAAAATAAGCAGAAATTTTGTGCTGGAAGAAAAAGAAAATCT